CTACGACTACAAACCTCTTTTTGTACTTGCTGGATTTGTTTCTTAGCATCAGAAAATTTCTCTTTCAAATCTTCATAATCTTCCTCTTTCCTCTGCAAATCTTTTTTCAAACTCTGTACAAGGGCAGAACTATCCAAGAGATCTTTATTTAGCCTGGTGTTAGAAATAAAAAGACAGAAATAACATTATTACTCATCTGAAAGAAACAACATTCACAGGTTAAGCTAAGCTCTGACTGTTGGTTTCTATCAATAAATAGTATCTCAGATCTATCAAGATCAATAACAAACTATACGTTTACTTTCAGATTTCAGCTTTTCCTAAGGTGCTAAAGCAACAAACTACTCAAATTCAGTTCTCATGAATATACAGCATAAAACTATTATAAATCCCCAATTTATTCTGTTACCCTGCATGTTTCTGTTTTCCCCTTAATTTCAAGGTAGTAAGATTATCTTGTAGTAGTAGTTTAGTAAATGATATTGATAACATGCAGATGGGTTATGTTAAAGAAGATCAGCGTTCATAGAAGGTAGTTTTAACTCAGACTCAGTCTCAAAGGGCTATGAGTTATCTAGTGCCTTCCAGTAGTATTAGCATTCCAGAAGCCTTTGCTATGACCATAATCAGGGTGCCATGAAGAGGAAGAAAAAAAAAAAAAACAGTTCACCCCCAAATTAGCCAGAGGTAAACAAGGAATAGTCTTTTCAAGATTTAACTTATCCATTGGAAAAATTATACAGCCTGATACAACTGTAACACATTATTTTTCTGGGAATTCCTTATAGCATGACATGCTTTAAAGGAACTATTCAGTGACAGACATGTTTAGGAACACTTATTAAAACAAACTGCTTGATCAATTGTTGGAAGTTTAGTCTTTATGAAAAGGATTTTTGTTGCTGTTGGTTTGTGTGTTGTTTTTTGTTGTTTTTTTTTTTTTTTTTTTCCCAGCCAGTATCACCTATTACTTCACAGTGTAGCATCACTTGCTGTGTGAACACATTTTGTAACACGCACTTAATGACTGAATACTGTAACAGCTCCTTTGCAACCTTTGAAAGTGATTTTTCAAAGGAGCTGTATGCTGACAGGCGATTTAAAGCAGCTCCAGCTTGCTGCTATTCAAATAAGAATGGCATTTCACTACCTTCAATTTTAAAACCAGATTGAGAGACAATAGCATGCCTGTACAAAGCACTTAGCAGAACTCTGGTGTTAGATCAGAAATTGAAATGTTTCATGCTACATAAGTTTCCTTCTTCGTATGGGAAACAACAAAAAGTGAGGCTAAGTTTGTTACTGAAGTTATAGTCATCTAAGTTCATTCTTTCCTGGGAAAAGGAAACTTCATTTTAAGTATCAGAATTTCTCAATATATGAAAACAATCAATACCAAGCTACATGGTCTTATTTCAGATAGTTCCAGCAACTAGGTCTCCTCAAATTTGGAAAGAATAAGGGAAGTTACTGTTGCTACCCCAAGAGACTTTCCTTTGTGAGATTTTAGTTCTCTTAGGATATCAGTATTGATATCCTAAACTGCTTGACCCAGTTTTGTAGTTAGGTCTTATTCTCCTCTTCAGCCAGTGATGCACAAGCGGTACATACATCAGAGAACACCACTGGGTTATGCCTTCCTGCAGATGGAAAGTTCACGAGACAACAAGGAAGACTTAAATATCAGGTGTCTTCTCTTTACGCCAAGCCAAACAATGAAGTTGATAAGAAAGTTTAGAATAAATGAGGAGGTATATTCATGCTCAGCTTTTACCTACCTACAGCATTTATCAGCAAAAGTCAGAAGACAAAGGAAGGTGATGTTCTAAAACACCTTTGTGCTTGGTCCCCCAGAAAAGGAGCTGAAAGGAGGACAACATCAAGCTAACTGTAAGCCTGGCCAAGAAAAGGCATTTTCTGTTACTTCCAAAGAATTTAAAGTGAACATATTATATCACCAAACAAGTGCTTTCCTAGTGTTTTGTTTTTAACATCACATTTTGACAGTCACATTCTTCCTACTCAGGAGGGAACTTTTATTCCTGACATGGACAATGGAGTACACAGAGCATGATTCATTTTCTAGGCTAACATATAGGCTCAACCTTCAAGAGTTGTAGGAAGTAAGCACAAAAATCACAATCCCTTGACCAAAGCAAAGGAAATGTGTTAACTCTGCAAATATTAGAAATTTTTAATTATGAAGTATGATAACCACACCTGAATTAAATTATGAATTTAATTCAGTGCAGTTTCTACAATTACAGAGGCCTATCCTAGCAACCAAATACCCTGGAATAATGTGAAATAGACAAATACCAAAATTGTGTAAGTACAGGTACTCTAATGTACAGTACTCGGCAATTATATTAAAAACATCTATTCAAATGGCTTTCTGAAAGAACAGCTTACTTTCTGGAAAAAATATGGTTTCCAGATAGCTCAAGCAACACTGTTGAGCTTCTAATACTAAGTATGAGAATTTAGAAAAGTTGACAATGCAGATGGTGAAATACAGTAGAATTCCTGTAGGTCATAGTAGCTTGACTTAGTTAATAGAATCTGTATTCTAGTAGATGCACAAAATGACTAAATTGCAATTAACACAGCAATTAATTGAAATAAAGTTCTCACTTGCTTTTTTTTTTTTTAAACCCACAAAAGCTAAAAGCATTAAGGATTTCATAGAATCATAGAATATCCTGAGTTGGAAGGGACCCTTAAGGATCATCAAGTCCAACTCTTGACACCGCACAGGTCTACCCAAAAGTTCAGACCATGTGACTAAGCGCACAGTCTAATCTCTTCTTAAATTAAGTCAGGCTCGGTGCAGTGACCACTTCCCTGGGGAGCCTGTTCCAGTGTGCAACCACTCTCTCGGTGAAGAACTTCCTCCTGATGTCAAGCCTAAACTTCCCCTGCCTCAGCTTAATCCCGTTCCCGCGGGTCCTGTCGCTGATGTTAATGGAGAAAAGGTCTCCTGCCTCTTGACACCCCTTACGAGGAAGTTGTAGACTGCGATGAGGTCTCCCCTCAGCCTCCTCTTCTCCAGGCTGAACAGGCCCAGTGCCCTCAGCCGTTCCTCGTACGTCTTCCCCTCCAGGCCTTTCACCATCTTCGTAGCCCTCCTCTGGACACTCTCCAACAGTTTCATGTCCTTTTTATACTGTGGTGCCCAGAACTGCACACAGTACTCAAGGTGAGGCCGCACCAGCGCAGAGTAGAGTGGGACAATCACCTCCCTCGACCTACTAGCGATGCCGTGCTTGATGCACCCCAGGACACGGTTGGCCCTCCTGGCTGCCAGGGCACACTGCTGGCTCATATTCAACTTGCTGTCTACCACGACCCCCAGATCCCTCTCTTCTAGGCTGCTCTCCAGCGTCTCATCACCCAGTCTGTACGTGCAGCCAGGGTTTCCCCGTCCCAGGTGCAGGACCCGGCACTTGCTCTTATTGAACTTCATGCGGTTAGCGATCGCCCAGCTCTCCAACCTATCCAGATCCCTCTGCAAGGCCTTTCCACCCTCATTCGAGTCCACAACTCCTCCAAGTTTGGTGTCATCGGCAAACTTGCTCAAAATACCTTCTATTCCTACATCCAGATCGTTTATAAAAATATTGAAAAGTACAGGCCCTAAAAAGGAGCCTTGAGGGACCCCACTAGTGACCGCCCGCCAGCCTGACGCAGCGCCATTCACCATAACCCTTTGGGCCCTGCCCGTTAGCCAATTGCTCACCCATCGTATGATGTTTTTATTTAGCTGTATGGTGGACATTTCGTCCAGTAGGATCCTATGGGAAACCGTGTCAAAAGCCTTGCTGAAGTCCAAAAAAATCACATCAGCTGGTTTCCCTTGGTCCACCATACGGGTGATCTTATCATAAAAGGAAATCAGGTTAGTTAGGCAGGACCTACCCTTCACAAACCCATGCTGGCTGGGACCAATGACTGCTTTGTCCCCTAGGTGCGCCTCAATACGATTTGAAACTATGAAACTTCAAATTTGGTAGGGAGAAGAACAAACATTACCAATCAGCAATTTCAGAGATGTCAAGTGGCTGAAGGTATTTCTACTACTTCCCCATACATCTCAGTCAATAAAGAAATCATACATCCAAAAATCAAGTGATGTAGAATCCTTTCAATCCTGCATTTTACCTTGCCTTTTTTTTTTTTTTTTTGTAAAACAAAAGCTATAAGCTTCTGCTGATTTAATGATAAGCAATCAAACTGTCATTCAAAGCAACATGATGGAATATGAATCTTGCTAGAGGCAAGCACAAGGTTACACACAATGGAAGGAACAATCCAGCTAAACAAGGACATGCTGATGGGTTCTAAAATTAACTGAAATTATTCAGGAAAAACAAGTTACGGGTCAAGATGAACAGCTGACTGAAAACATCTGCTAAACATGGAACAACGCAGATGAAATATTGAGGAAGACAAAGAATAAATGTGGCAAGTACAGCCCCGTTGTGTAAGAGCGTTACATGACTTCACCTTGCATATTTACTATGGTTCCAGCTATGACACTTGTCTAAAAATCAGTAGCATCTACCTCAGGTAAGTCTTCACTGCTATACTCGTCTATAGTCCTGAAAGAATTTAGTCCAGATACCTGGACCAGACAGCAGAAAACGGAAGAGCTGGAGAAGAACAGTGATTTGATTATGAACTAAAATCTTAGTACAAAAAGCACCTGTTCTAGTTGAGGACTGGATGGTTAGAATAAGCTTTCAGACATCTACACCAAACTGTGTCACTTGAAATACCAGATTACATTTATGGATATTAATACTCCTTCAGGGATTATAAAGAATTTAAGGATGCACAAGTCATGATGTGTACTCTTCCTCCTAACCTTGCCACCCCAAATTTAGGGTAAGTATACGAGCCACTTGAAAACAAGAATTTAAGCCGTTCTTCACAGGCATAGTTATCACTGAACAACAGATAACTAAGGAACAGTTCCTATAAAAAAAAAAAGATACAAGCTTTCTTGAGCTTATTTCAATTTTAATTAAGTCAAAGTGTGAAACCATCAGGAATATTCTACATATCTATATACAAGCTTAGTAGCGTGACAAAGTATCTATCACCTCCTATATACAATCAGCTAAAATAATACAATAAAGCATGCCTTGACTAGGAAGTACAATCATGCTTCTGCAAGATTATTTAGCTGGTTTTGATCGGAGACGTCGCTTGATGATTAGATGATCACTTTCCTTCTCATTTTGTTCTATAAAAATCTGAAAAAGACATTTCAAGAGTTACTCATCTTTTCTTTATAGAAGGCTGACATACACTTCTAGACTCATGTAATCAACTACATGTTTTTCTCCCCATAATAGGCAAATTTCATTCTGAAAACATCTTCTCTTTTAACCAGGTGTTTATAGGACAGAGACCATTTTACAGCTGCTTGATTAGAAGCAACAAAAATGCTATGACCATACAAAATTCCATTTATCTTAAAAAATGTCTAAAGAAAATCTGAAGGCAAATTTAACTTTTTAACTCTAATACTCATTTTGTGAAATGAGGTGTTCAAAATACATTTATAGCTTAAACTTCTGTGGCTTTCTCCACTTTCCCAGAATTCCGTCTTTCATTTTTCCTTTCAATTTCATGTTTCTCAGTTTCTGTTGTCTCTGTAGTTCTGTCCCATTTTCTTCATCTTCTAACAAACAACATTTTGGTTTCTGCCTCCTTCATTCATACAATTTGAATGAAGAAAATTCAATGAGATAATGCAGCATGGACAAATGCTCACCATCATGAATAGAAGAAAGGCTTAAACAGATTTAAAAGACGTAGTTCCAATAGAGCAGGAGTACTACCAGCACCATAGCTACTGAGAGCCATGAAATCGCATTTCAGGAACAGTACATCGAGCCTTTGCACTTAAGACCCTTCATAAACTGGCTTAGACAGGAGAACACAGCTCAAGCATACCCAGCAGGCTGTCTAAAGTGTACTTTGGAAAAGCACAGATGTATACAACTTTTTAAAGTAACCTGAAGATCAGCTAGACGTAAATGGAATTTGAAGTTACCTTAAGCACTCACTTCCACTGCAAAGTTAATTGTACATGCAGAATTTTCTTTAGTGCTTTGATCATGCTGTTCCAAATTAAGGGATCCCTAAATTGCCTGTATTTCCATTCTTTCTTTATGCTATAGTTAACTAGCATAGCATAAGTAGTATAGTATAACAAGTTATGTTATGCCAGTTAATTGCTGGAAGAAACACATACATTATGACTCAACTACTGTAGCAGAATAATTCACATTCCCCGTTACCAGAACTAAGCTACTTATGGCTCCAAATAGAAAGAGATCTCCAAGATTGTTTATATCACCTATCAAGTCATAATCAAACACAGAAGAGAGGTGATAATAGAAAATAAAATAAAACAGTAGGAAAACATTACCAAAAAGAATGGCTAGGTATAATCAAGAAATGCTCAGTACTATCAAACCCCTTATGCAAATTTACCAGACTTTCAAGTTTGTTCTGTTCCCCTTATAGCTTATTTTGAGCAAAGATTATAGAAATATATTACATTAGAGTAACCTGTAAGTACTTACTGAAGAAGCAGAGATATCTAGAGGGGAGGAAATGTCAGTTGAATACAGCTTTCTCTTAGCTCTTTTGGGCTTGATCTCATTTTCTTTGAGACTTTCTGGTTCTGAAGACTTCGGAGAGCTCTTTGGAGAGCTTATTGTTGCCATCAGCTTCTTTGCTAGGAGAATTTTAAGTCATAAATCAGTATCTTACTGGTTTAGTGAGCCTCAAAAAGGTAATGAATACAAAAAGAAGTAGTTAAAAATAAACAGAATGAAGTGGAAACATTCAAACATTTTATTTCACCACCACGGTTTCTACAGATGAAACAGCTTTTTGGATGCAAGAGTTTAAAGTATACGTTCAAAAGGGATATTAAAATAAATTCAGGTTCAAACGTCACTAAAAGTTAAACTTCAGCAGGAGTTGGACAGCAGGCCTAAGTTTATACACTTACATAGTTTCAAACTAGTACTAAATCTCTAAAGAGATGAGTACTTGCATATTATGAGCTAGAAGAAAACAAGAAAACTCCAGAAATACTAAGTTATGCAAATAGGGAAAGAAAATACCAGATGTGGTAATGAAGGTTAAAAACTGAAACCCATTTACTTGAATTAAGTAACTCCAGGTTGAAATTTTGAATAATCTGAATTTGGTTTCTTGTCCCCATAGAATAGATATAAGCCTGCAAAGTTTTTGAACAATCCCACTATCATCAACTAGATTATTTTAGAACACAGAAATAACATCTATTTTGTAGCAACTTTTCAAATTGGTGCAGAGATCTTCAGTTTTCACTATCTACACAGAATGTTTGAACGAATGTTTGAACCAGCAAGATAAGAATGTCTTTTGGGACTTAAAACTGATCATCTTTTATGCATTCTGCTAATCTTTTTAAGCCATAGAACCTCAGATTGTACATTACTGTAGGAAAGAACAGAAAAGGTTCTTCAGTGAAGATGCCTAGCAGTTAATCTTCCCAAAACTATGTTTAAATATAAGGAAGATCATCAATAAAATATGGCAATTAATGTACTCTGTATTATCATATAGCTTTCATATTCTGTAGAACTAATCTTCTCACAAATACATGCATCAAAAGTCATTATTACATATTACACAGAAAACATGGACAGGTAGAGATGGAAAAAAAAGGATTACTTATGGAAATACAAAGGATTTTGAATTTGGATTTAGTTCACCTCCTAATTCTTAGTGGCCTCTAATCCCACCAAGATTACCTTTTACACTTAACCAAAACTTTAGAACTGTATGGTCCTTGCAATCAAGATAGCCTTTTCCACTCTGCAGGATTCAACATAGCAGTCCCTAATTCAGTTTCCATTATTTCATAAACTACTTAACATGGCAGACATGTCCTTTAATAACATGCACATTAACAGACCACAGTAGAAACACGCCATTACACAATGCCCAGAAAACACAGTAAGTTTTATTTATTCTGTACAAACCTTTAGAATGAATAATAGTAGGAGAACTCTGAAAAAAGCCTCCAAGCCTTTGTAGTGTTCCATCCTTTTTTCTAGCTGACCTTTTGTTGGATGTAGATTCTTGCTTTCTTAGAGAATATTCTTTTCTAGACGTCTGTGTAGTAGACACCTGAGCAGAAATACAAGACCAGTGTTTAAGCTGAAGTCTGAGTTATTTTCAAATTTAATTCCATTTTATTTCAATGTTTTTTTTTTTAAGCTGACATTTTGAGCTTTGCTACTGACACCGCTTTGGTCTATATTGCTCGCTGTGGGAGTATCTCATTCTATATCCAGAAAAAGTTGTCGATGTTTTAATTTCAGGGCACGAGTGAAATACCTGAAAACAGTTTCTTTAAACATCAATTCCAGGTTGTAGAGCATTTCTTTACACAAACCATTCTAATTATAAATAAAATATAAGGAAACTGATAGGAAAAAAAAATACAGTACCCACCCTCTGAACTTGCCCAGGATAGTACTGCAGCCTGAAGACATTTTTGTAATTGTTGTGTATTTAAGTGACATGCATTTAAATGAACTTTAGTTTTACTTCAAGAGCATCACCTACAACAGCACTTATTGATACACTCAAACTTGACTTTCCTGATATTCAGCATTCAACAACATCCTTTCCTCCAGATCATTATACAATACAGCCAGTACACACTTGGCAAACAGACTTACTCTCTCCTTGGTTAGCCTATAGGATTTAAGAGGAACAAAGTGTTTAAGAAACCTTATATATATTCTTGAGTGAGATAAGATATTGCTGAGTAATAATGTTCACTCCTTTCACATCTCCAGAAAGTTAGAGAAATACATTACAGAAAATGCCAAACTATCAAAAATAGTAAAACAAACAAACAAACAAAAAAAACTTAAAAAACACTAAAATACTTCAAAAGAAGAAGAAATACGTCAAAAATAGGAAAAAAAAACAAACCATTTTCTTGTTGCTTGTAGAAGGTGAGCTAAAAGCCATAGATTTTTCATTTTTCTTGTTTTCACTTTTCACAAAATCCTAGGAAAAGAAATACGTAAATTTTGGCTAGGATTCTTCCAGAAATAATTTGTCATATAAACAACCACTGCTTAAACTTAAATGCTATGGCTAACAGTATGGAGGTATTTGCTAATGTGGATATTTGGATATTTTGCTAATATGGATAACTGGATAGTGGTAACTATTCAAATGCTACATAAACTTAAAAGGAACTAGAAATACCTGTAGGCAAACCATTCTGCCATTTGAAATTCTCTTCTCTCCATTATTTCGTACACATCCAGTATTGAGGTATTTAACAAGCAAGTTGAATTTATACTTAGATTTATTGAGTTGCTTTCAGGTTTATGGTGACAATGATAAAAACAGATTGTTACTAACAGATTAACAATAGAATTAAGGCATCTCTCTACATAAGCTTTTCTTTGAAGATCCATGTGAAGCAAAACTGCACATCGACAATTCTATTAAAGACACGCTTGGATACTTTAGACTGAAATAGAAAGCTAATGTATGGGAAGTCTAAAAAGCTGATTTGTGTGTACATCTTTCTAGAGAAGAAATACAATGGATTTCAGATAATATAAATAAATACTCCTCTCCCTTTTCTGATGCCGTTATAGGTCTGCATGGCTGTTAATTTGTTCAGTTAAAGATTGTACTCTGTACAAGGTTCAATTTTGTATATTTCTAAAAGCAAAAAAATAATTTAAGGTCAACAAGAAATAGTCCTTTCACCATTAATAGTTTTTAATTTGTCCCTGACTTTGGTGTTGACAGTATGCTTTTCAGTTCTGAGGAATTTAAAAACCATCACTAGTTTGAGACACCGTTAAAGTTACTGAATAATTTCATAATTTGTTTGGCACACGTAATGCAAAAATAAATATTTAAGAGTAATATTCAGATGAATAAAACAGCAATAAAAATAAGTTAGCATTACATAATTAAGTAACATTTCTAAGTTTAGTTAAGTGTTATCCCATGAAGGTATGGACCATTATACTATGAAAGGATTTAAGTGAATCGTTATAGCAGTCTTTAAAAAGGTGGATAAGCACATTAGATGAAATATATTCATCTGCAGATAAGTTCAGCAGTTTTTCCAGTGCCTTCAGAAGGGTGGTTATTTTTTACTTCAAGTTTTCCATCTGTTTGATGGATATTACTCCTGAATGAAATTGGTTTAAGATGCAAATATTTTAAATCCACTCTGGACACTAACCCAGAATAAAGCGTAAATTCCAGGTAACTTAACTTACGCAGCTTTCAACAGTTATTTTTGCAATCCAGGTTACGTATTTTGCAAAAAAAAACAAAAAAGCACGCAAGTGAATTTATAGAAATACTGTTGAACACTAAATCACTGATGTGATTATTTTCCTCAACTACTTCACTGAGATAAAGTTATCATTTGGTAATGCTTGAATAAGAGATGCTAGAAAAGCAAATGTTTCACTCTCCAGCTGGGACAAGCTCACCCACTTGAAAGACATCACACATTAGCCAAGTCATCCACAAGTCACCTCCTTCTTACTAACCTGTCAAGTCCGTTAAGTCCTTACAGATTCAAATAAGGCCCTTAAGTAGCATTACAGGTACAAAACCCTAAGACCAAACTGTGGTATTTAGGTAGCCTTGAGATAGCTGTGTTGGTGCTAATGCCGTGAAAAGTATGCTGGTAACGTGCAGGGAACAACATATACCATCCTGAACTGCAGTGGAGTCTCAGGCTCACATACAAACATACAGCACATTAAGAAGGCTGCAGCATATAACCTAGCCCAACTTAATTCATCTTCAGTTCATTCAAGTCTACAGAAAACAGCAGGTTCAGGTGCTGGTGCAGTTCTGTGCAGCCCCTCATATGATGGAAAAAAAAAAAAAAAAAAGGAGGTGGACTTGGAGTTCAGGAATGTGTTGATTAAGCTTAATTTGAAATTAGGTATTAGGAGAGAACCAACAGTTGCCGAAGCCAAAACTAGCAATTCTGTAGAATTGGTCTGCAATCCCACAAATGAGAGCTGGGGACAGAGCAAATGGTACTGGCAGGGAGAGCACAGTGTAAAAGGCAAAGAGGAAATGCAAGGCAGGGATATGGGGCCAGAGTCTGGATATATTGAAGTCTATGGCCTTATTCAACACACACTGGAGATCCACCACTCATGTCTATTTAAACTTCTTTCACACCCCCACCCCTCCCTGATATAGAGGTATTTGTAGACCTCGGTAATCTCATTGAGAATCAGATAATAAATTTCTAATAAAGTATCACAGTAATACACTGAAAAACTACACAATACTTTGTTAGTTGGTCTAGGTCATACCTCATCCATTTCGTCACTCTTCCTTTTCCTTCTTGTTTTGAGCATTTTAACTGTCACAGGTAAGGCACTGCCCTGATGCTTTACTTCCATCTTATTTGGTTGCAGAGGTGTGAACTGGATTTCCATCTCTGGTTTTGGGAACCGACTAGTTCTTCCATTTTCTGTGGACACTTCAGAAGAGTCAAGGACAGTTTCTGAATGCTCCTGCAATATATGGAAATTTTTAGGAAACAAATTAAGTAATTATGAGATAAAATATAATGCAATCCCCCCTGGAAAAGGATACGTGAAGTAAGCATTCAATCAATTTTTCAGATACTAGTTTACGGAGTTCTTATGACAGAAGAACTCTACTCCAATTATAACCGAGTTTAACCCTTATTTTCTAGGGGGTCTTTATTTTTTTCCAGTTATAGATTGGAATAAAAACATAAGTTTTCCATGCTGAATTCAGCTTGATACTTCCCAGGTCGTTTTCCTCAAGGGCACAAACAACTGGGTTGTTTATGCAGCTATCAGCTGCAGAATTGACATGATTGTCCATTTCAATTCTGCTGCTTAGGAACTAGGCAGGTACAAGAGCTTTAGGCAGATACAAGAGCTTTAGACAGAACAATTGAATTTCTCTGTAGCCTATCTTCAGAGAGTTTGCCCTTCTCCTTCAACACTATGGAAGTTAATTGTGTAAATAACAAGGTCCAGCTGGCAAGCTACAAGCCAAATTCAATCTGCAGGAGTCTTATCACTTTTTTCCCTGGAGAAAGCCCAGGCATTCAGACAGCAACGCTGTCAACAAGCTGAAGATTTTCTCTTGTACCACCTCACAGCCAAACAGCAAGAACCACACATCTTGCATTTCCAAGAATGAGTTGGTTAATAATAACATTTTTCTTTATCTAACTGCTACTTTATGAAAGATAGCAATCAAAGATTTGCATAGGGTTGGTTAGCATCCTCAGCTAACATAGCTTCAGAAGTGTTTTTCCAGGTGGCTTATCTAATCAGCTACTTTATAATGAAAGTTTTCAAAAGCACATAGATAAAATTCACCACTAAGTTACGTTTCTTCAGCTTTTGGTGCTACCAAAAGCTCTCAAATCAGACAATCTGATCACGTCAAAAGATACCTGCAGAATAACTTCAGAATTGTTCAGACATGACACTGTTTCCTACCCATTTTTTTACTTATCAAATCCATACACTATACAACTATAAAACTTTCCAGTTTAAAGTTCCATACCAACCTCAGTTTCACTTAATGAAGAAGCACTGTTGGAATCATTCTCCTTAACTTCATGTCTTATTGGAACAGTGTCTCCAGTGATTGGATTAATCTCACTCCGTTTCTTCATAAACTGTAAATATTTAGAATGAATAAAAGTTATCCTATAGGATGAACTTTAAAAAAAAAAAACACTGAGTTCTCTAAATTTATAAAATCTCAAGCACAGACACCTCATGAACACCTAGACTAAAAGACAGCACAAGTCTGAGAAGCAAGTAACATCATGATGTGATTGTAAGATGTGAGCTGCTGGGTCTCAGCAACAGTCCATCTTTTTCAATACTCTGTCTCTGAAAGTGGCAAAGGGAAATTCTATCTAGGGGCGTGTGATTCTGGACAGCTTGTCATCTATTCCCTTCCTGCTCTCACAGCACTCTCAATGACTGTCAACACCAGTTGGCTTTTCTCCTCATTCATAAGTAGTGAGTGTCCATGCATAACCCTTCACAGAAGCAGGAATAGTAAAACCAATTAAGTCAATTCAAACAAACAGAATGGGACTGATGTGAGCACTGCTGTTGGGAACAACTATTTTACAGGAAAGTAAGTGAAAGAACAAAACAGAAGCTACTTCTGAAGCTGTATTGCTGGCCTTTTCCTCATGCCACATAAACAAGAGAACTGCATATGTATTTCTTCCAATAGTAATAATAGCACCAGCCACAAACTTGTTTAATCACGCTGGTCATGCTGTTTGCTTGGACACGTGGGGATGATCAAAAGAGAAGTCTAGCAGCACTTGTTTTTTCTTTCAAGCCAGACAAATGTGGTAGAGCTTGCAAATTTCATTATCTGGATACTAGAATTATATCAGCAAGATTAGTGGAGAATGCATGATAACCTACACAACCTTTTCTTTTGGGAACATGGGAACTTTTTTTAAAAAATACACTTAACAGTTCATTTTGGAAGTTCCTGAAATTATAACTTTTGGGATATTACCAGTATCTCATAAATATATACTGAGAAAGGAACAGAACAACAATTATTACAATTATTTTCTCTAAATATAACAAACATTAGTATGTACTAATCATACCTCTTTGTTTACAGGTAAATCCACTGTATCTTGACTTTCTTCATGTAAAGGTACTTCTGGTGAAAACTGAAGGCTTTCATGGTTAATGCATTTTTTCAATTCCTTTATGAAGTCCTCTTTATCAGCCAACTGTTTTCTTAGTTCTATCACAGTTTCATTATCCTAACAAACATAGTAAAAATTGCCAAATTACAGGATTGGCAAAAAGAATTAACATATACATGAGCAGCACTGCAATTACTCAATAGCATTAATTTTAGTTTTCTGTTCTAGCCTGCAATTCTATCAAACGGAAGCTACGATAGTTTAAATTATTTGTGTGGCCACTATTGGAAGTAAATAAGTCACATAGCCTGGAAAGATGTAATACGATTTTTATTTTGCTCTATTTACGTGCTTCAGTCATCTTCCCTAAGGTCTAAGAAGTTTGGCTTTCTATTTTTTCCATTAAGTCCTTGCTGCTGTGAAAGAGCCAGCAGTTGGGGTCATTTTGTTTTAAGCATGTCCACCTGGAGAGACTGAGGTCAAATATCCAGAGAAGGGATAACTAAATCAGTCTTCTGTTTAGCTTTTGAAGTCGTATGCTTCTAATTAGATTTGCTATCCTGGTTAAGAGCTGGACACAGAAATTAAAAAAAACTTGAGAAATCATTCCTTCTCTGCCTCCATTGTTTTCTTTCAACTTTCCTCATTTCTTTCATCTCATGCCACTCTACATGTTAGATCAGAAAAGCACCTGAAGAAAGAGAAAACTATTTCCTATTAAGTGTTCAGCCTAGCCTGGGGCAAAGTCCTACAAGCTACAGGAAAAGTCATTTTAAAATTTTTAGTCCAACTTTGCAAACAAAGAATCAAATTGACTTGTGCATTTATTTGTACTATTAAATATTTTGAAATTTTAGCCACTAACACAAATTCAGTTTCAAAAGAACATAAAGCCAGCCTTATTTTAAGCTGGCTGCAAATGTTAATATGACCATGTTTAAGAACAAAAATACAGCTGAAATGGTGAGTAAGAAAAGTGTTTTGCAGAATTTATTGGAAGCAATTGACATGGTAAGAAAAAAAAAAAAAAGCTGACCTTTCCCGAATCCTTTAGGACAGACTGTTTCAGTTCTGCTATTTCTTTATCTTTTTGTATGGTCTTAGAAGCCAAAGTCTTGAGCTGTACTTCCAAAGCTTCTACTAATTTATCTCTCTCTTCACGCCACTTACTAAGATCGCTGTCCTTCTCCACCAGCTGTGCAGCAAGTCTTTCCTAAATGGAGAAAAGATTAAGCAGCAAGTCTTTCCTAAATGGAGAAAAGATTAAAAACGAACACTACTACTACACACTATCCGAACTGTTCTGACAGTTTGGCTTCATATAGTTAGTGCTATTTTATGGCCTTAGCAAACTTGAGAGCGCTTTTACATCTTAAAAAGGACATGCAGAACTAGAAATATATTGTATACAAATACACAAAAGCAAACCATGCTTCAATTTTCAGTCTATTTCTCCTTGTGAAGAAAGATTTTTTTCCCAAAGAACCTCAACCTCTGTTTGTTAAAGTGATTATTAACAAGCATCAGGAAAAGTAACAGAGTAATAGTAATACTAAGCTCCTAACGTTTTTTCTGTGCTGGTTGCAGGTCCACAAAATCAATGCTAACTACTTCTAGATAATAAATATAGTTCTGTAGACTGTACAGATTCATACAGTTTCATGTGCTTAAGAAGTCGCAGACATGACAACAGGCTTGTGAGCATGCAAAGTAGTTATATTTTCATAAATTATCAGTCACTGTTTTGAAAGCTATATGGGAGCAAAACACTGGCATTTTGACCAAGTGTTTTTACTTTTTATCTGGAGAGAAGCTTTTTTCTTGCCACCTTCTGATTATTCTTTCTTCATCCTTCTAAGGCCTTATAGGCTTCTATTTTTATAGAAGATTTATAGGAGACCCAAGAAACAAATTGTTATTCGAAATATGTTTCCTTAGCTTCGTTAAACAGCAATTCATTTTCAGTTGTAGATCCCGTATTGATGGCTTACACTATATACTATGCTTTTTTTTCTTTTTTTTTTTTTTTTATTTTTTTATTCTTTGACCCTCCTTCCCTTTTCCATATGGAGAACATCTCATCTGGGCTTTGTGTCATGTAAGAAAGTGAGTGGACTTTGACAAACGTAACCTACTCTCAAATGCTGATACTGCTAGTACTTGACATGAAATTTGTTCTGCACTACAGACTTACACTAAAGGACTCTGCCAAGACCTCATCACTTACAATTTCGGCTTGCTGCTTTATATGACGCTCTCTGTCCTCAGCAAATTTTTTCATTTCTCTGTTGCGATGGCTCTCAGCTTCTTTTACTTGATCTATGAGTCCTTTTTTTTCTTCCATCCACTTTTTTCTGTCAGTTTGATACTTCGCCTCATTTTCCTATTTTTAAAAGAGATTTGAAATGAAGTCATAAGAAATCAAGCAAAACCAAAGTCTTAAAAGCCAGATTACCATTAAATAGACTTGTTTCAGAAAGATAAATACTAACAGTTTTACTCCAGCATATTCTCAAATGCTGGTATTAGATATTCATCACTTCTTTTCTATTGGAAAAGACATTATCAATTTTCAGCATTTCTTATTCAGAAAGAAGCGACTTCATAAAACATTTCTTTAAAAATGCTCCGAGTAAATCATGAGCACTATAAAAGTTACACCAAAAGTAGTACTAAGGAGACCCTTCTAACTTACAAGCATCTAATCTTTTATGCCACCTTACAGGAAACATTAGAAAACTTGCTTCTAATTTAAGACTGAAAGGCAAAGAATGCAGTACAATTTAAATGGTAGGAGTAGATGAGTACCTAAGAACGGCCAATCCACAGCAACCTTGCCTTTTTTTTTTTTTTTTTAAATCACAATCAAATCTGTTATCCTTCTCTTATGTAAGGCAGACAGCGCCTGAGAAACTGCTTGGAAAAAAGTCTACGTAATCTAAATAGCTTATTTAGTTAACCAAATCAATTGACAGGAAACGCGTTTGACAAAACTATCATCTGAAGTTTATGATTTGCTTCGAGTTCGTATTTCCTTCTTGCATATGATGTACAAATCGACTAAGTACTTGGTTTATATTGTGTAGATCTAGTATAAAATGGAGCAATGAGTGTTCAACTTTCCCTTCTGTTTGAAGGATAGCATTTGTTTTATGCATTAGAAACAAATAATTTTTCAGGAGGAAAGAAAAAAGTGCAGGACCGTTGCACTAATGGAATAAATGCAATCTGTTGTATAATCACTTCGGAAATTCCAGTGAGAGTCTATTTCTTTTTATCAATGAAGGAAGTCAGATTGGTTAAGACAAACATTCAGGGGAAGGCAGCAACAGAAGCGCTGTCCATTGTAGCATAATGTAGGGAAAGTTGTACTCCTTATCATATGATTATGAAAAAAAAACTAGTCTCCTAGAAGGTACTGCTTTAAAATTAAGTATGAATTAAGTCACCCTATTTTACCTTCAGTTCTTTCTGCAGCTTTATTAATTCCTCATTTCCATTTATGTTTGTGTCATCATTTCTGGTCATCTTTGGCTGCCACTCAGTATTGCTCTGGTTATTCAGCTGCATATATTTCTGCTTCCACATTTCCAATTCTAGTTGGTACAGAAAATGGTTACATGGTGTGTAGTTTCAAATATGTATTTGACCACATTAACGTTTACCTGCTAAAGTCACTTGGCTTTATCAGCTACTAACACAAAGGAATAACAGAAGCCTTCAACTATTAGAAATTTGTTATGTATTACAGAAAATTAATACCTAAATAACAGTCAACTGGAAAATAGAAGTGGCTACTGCAACATATATAAAAAAACAACGTTGCCTCCCTGCTTCCTTTCCCTGGAGAGATTACCTGAAACTAATCTGCTGTTTTCTTCTAGTTTGGCTTCAAGTACTTGTTCTTGTTCAATCTGAGTCTGCTCTTGTTCTTCTAATGTCATCCGCATATCTTCAATTATTTTTTCTTTTGCACTGAGTTCTGAAGGTTTGAAAATAAATTTACAGATGAACCCCCTACCAGTTCCCATGATTTTTTCTAAGAAAGCCTTCAATACAAAGTAGTTTCCCCCTATGATCAAAAGATCTATTAGAAATAGAGCATCTCTATTCAAATATTTATATACAAATACATAAAAAAGCTTAAGAAAGCCTTACTGAACAGAGTTAAATCTCTCATCTAAGTTTAAGATAAATAAGAATATTGACTGTATTATGAGAAAGCCATGATTCAGCTACTCTAAGTTCATCAAGCCTACAGAATCTATTGTTGTAGGATTTCATATTTCAGTGTTTGATTTTTGTTAAAGGTCATTTATTTTGGCAAATAAATACCAGATTAAAGAAAGTACAGCATATCTACACTTTCTCAAGGACTTGTTTCTTATTTTAATTCTGTTTCTCTGCTTTCAAATACACATGATAAGAGTGATACAACAAAAATTAATTGCTAACTAACATTTTAACATTCAGCTTAGGGTTTCTCAAATCATGTCTCACTATACGAATACGTAAAACTTATCAAGGTAGTTAATAGCATGACAACTCCTTACACTGACATTCCACACCCAAAAAACAGAAAAGTAATGGCTTTTTCTGACCTTTACGTGTATTCTCATACTGTCTGGAGACTTCTTCCAGCTTCTCATTACTCAACTGCTCCTACATATCATTGAAAGCAAGTTAAAGAAGAGTGTTGAAAGAAAAACATACATACTAGAAATCAGTAGCAGCCTACAATGCTTTTCATTCTGAACTTGAATGAGTGGAACATTCAAGACAGTCTAGAATAAATATTTTTTTCTATAGAGTGTAAAGGAGCATTCAAGCTGATAAAAAAGGTTTAGAGAAAGACATCTCAACTAATAAAAAGTAGACATCACAAAATAGAATCAGGGTATTACATATGTATTTACTAAGCTGATTGCTGTATTTAAAAAAAATTACCAGTGCTCTGCAATAATCTTTTAAACACTTCCCATCTGTTATGTCTAGTTTCAGCTGGCTACTTTAGTTTTACCTCCAGTTCTGTAAGCTTTGTTACTTAGAGAACATGTCATTAACAGACTAGTTAAAAAATTAAGGGAAAAAAAAATACCCTTTTAAATTGCTGGATAGCACGCTGTTTGATATCCAGTTCTTCACTCAACTGTTTTTTGATTTTTTCAAGTTCATTAACTTTGTTCCTCAGGGATTTCTCTTCGGAACGCATTGTGGACACCTACAATGGAGGTAGAATGCAGAGACAACAAACAAAGCTGACAATTAGTTACAAGCTTTTTTTATACAATCTAAGTTACTTAAATAACTAAATACTTTCATTAAAAAAAAATCAATTTATTGCAAGAATATGAACATCTTAACTAAATTTCAGGGTCTGGATGTGCATTATACTGTGCATTCTTTCTGACACGATTTTCCATCAGTTATTACAGTACGTTTGGCAGGAAAAACAAAATTCAAATGGCATAATCTAAACTCCAAATTTAGTTGTCTATTTGGAAAAACAAGTTTTTTTGACATGATTTCACCACCCCTTACTCTTTGTCAAATAAAGAAGGATTAACCACCAAACTCTGAGCAGTAAAAGGTCAGCAAGCATAAGGCTACAAGAAAGACACTATTACATTTTTAAGCCTTCATTTTCAATCCCAAACTCTTCCAATCTTTTGTACTAAATTCTTGCAATAACTTATCAGGTTCTAAGAAACTATCACTTCATAACTATATACTAACAATTATTATTACTACAAGTTACGAATGCAAAAAATAACTGAAATTGAAAAGAAGCCTTGGAGTGCTTTCTTCTGGTATATACCACTTTTCCTCCCAGATATATTCATTTTCCACAAGTCTGAAGGTTGAGGCTTTAAAGTTAGCACAAATACCACTGTAAGACTTAATACTTGTTATAGTAAAGTATCTCACCATAATCAAATCATCCTTTCTTTCCCCACAACCCTTTTTCAAGGTCACTAATAAAATTTACTTCTTCCTTCCCCCATTACCTATATTAAACCACATTTTGGCATCTCATCTTCTCTACAACTTCAACAGAAATATTAACAATTCACAGCTACTCTAGCTGTATAACAAAATAGCCTTAACATGAAACACTTAACCTTCAAAGTTGGAGATTTGAGAGAAACATGTTTCAAATAAAACCAAGAATAAAATTGCAGAAGAAACATCTTGACTATGACTACAAACCTCTTTTTGTACTTGCTGGATTTGTTTCTTAGCATCAGAAAATTTCTCTTTCAAATCTTCATAATCTTCCTCTTTCCTCTGCAAATCTTTTTTCAAACTCTGTACAAGGGCAGAACTATCCAAGGGATCTTTATTTAGTCTGGTGTTAGAAATAAAAAGACAGAAATAACATTATTACTCATCTGAAAGAAACAACATTCACAGGTTAAGCTAAGCTCTGACTGTTGGTTTCTATCAATAAATAGTATCTCAGATCTATCAAGATCAATAACAAACTATACGTTTACTTTCAGATTTCAGCTTTTCCTAAGGTGCTAAAGCAACAAGCTACTCAAATTCAGTTCTCATGAATATACAGCATAAAACTATTATAAATCCCCAATTTATTCTGTTACCCTGCATGTTTCTGTTTTCCCCTTAATTTCAAGGTAGTAAGATTATCTTGTAGTAGTAGTTTAGTAAATGATATTGATAACATGCAGATGGGTTATGTTAAAGAAGATCAGCGTTCATAGAAGGTAGTTTTAACTCAGACTCAGTCTCAAAGGGCTATGAGTTATCTCACTATTTACTTACAGTTCTATGGACTGTGTTCTCTCGTTTTCATATTTCTCCTTTTCCCAAAGAGAGTGTTTCATCTTCTCCAAGCTGTTTGTCAACTGCACAACTTCTTCGTTCAAATTTGCTTCTTGACTATATAACTCTTTGATTTTTTGGTCTGAATTAGCACATTTTTCTTGCAGAGCTACTGTATTAGCTTCTAAATTTAAAATAATAGATTCCTTTTGTTTAAGTATTTCTTCTAACTTTGTCATGCTGTCTTCTTTTTTTTGAAAAGCTTCTAAGAGGCATTCAAGTTCTCTTATTTTTACTTTGTAACTTGTAACTTCCTCCTCAAATTGTGTAATTACTCTATGATCTTCTGCAGCCCGTTTTTCAAAATCTTGAGTTTTCTTTTGGATTTGCTCTTTTAACTGATCCATAAGAGCCTTTTCCTTTATGGACTGACTATCTTGTTTTGTCATCTCACTTAGTTTTACTTTTAGTTGATTATTACAGTTTTCACTGTCCTCGAGTCCCTTCTTTAAGTTTTCAACTTCTTGAACTAGTTCTTTGATCTGCTGACTTTTCTGCGAGGAAGCCTTAATAATACTTTTGCATTCTTCCCAAATGCTTTCAACACTGTAGTGAAAGGAGCTCTCCCATCTTGGATCTGCTATAGAAGTCGTTTGGGACTGCATATACATAGAATTAATTTGAGATGTCTCCGATTCCTCTTTTTCATAATCTAAGGAATCCTTTAGATCAACTAAATCCATAGCATGAGACTCTAAGTGAGATTTACATAGCTTATCTACTTTGGACTGCATTGTTTTTATTTGTGACACTTTATCAGTTATATTTTGTTTGGCATCTTCTACTTCCTTTTTTAGTTGAAGAATCTTTTCTTCTTTCTCCTTATTTATAGTCTTCTGTTTATCCAATTCAGAAACAATTTGCTGATAGTCAGTTCGATACTGCTGAAGCTCTTCACTCAAGCCAGTTGCCCTTTCTTCAGAGTGGGAGAGCTGAAGTTGCAAGTTTGTTACCTGCTCACTGAACTCTTCTTTTTCATTTTCTTCTCTTCTGCATTGTTGTTCAAGCGCAGCTATCTGACTCTCCAAGGTTTCAACTCTTTCCTTCAGTGCAAGCGTTTCCATATGTTTGTCATAACTATTTTGGTTCACGTGCTCAGTTCTTTCTCGCTCTATCGAGAGATCTTCCCAACTGTCTTTCACAACTCCTAAAAATGAATACAGCTCAGGTTGATTAAAATCATTAAGTTATTAGCAATACCAAGTAGCAATTATGATGTGAAAAATGGTCACAATATGGAAAACATACCCTCACGTCAGATGGCCTTTTGAAGTCTCAAAGTAATTAAAGCCCTCTGAATAGCTTAGCATGAAATAGGTGCCTTGGACTTCTAAGTACTTTGCACCAAAAGGCCCTCAGCCTGAAAAAATTCTCTGCCTTAGCTCTGTTCAAACCTTCTACTCTAACACTAGTAGAGAACCTATCTAGTTTATAAAAATGTTCCAATATTATGAGCTAGATAATTTAGTTCTATCTAGTTTCCACATTCACTGGTTCAACAATCCCTTCAATACAGCTAATCACCCAAACTATATTTAGAAGAGCAAACACATGATACGCTTTTTGAGAAGTTTCATTCATACTCAACGTCCCCTTACTTTAAAAAGGAAGCTGAAATCCCACACAAGTTTATCACTGTGTTCCTATCCTTCCCCTCCTCTTTTTTCAATTGGACTCTAAAAAAAATGTAAGAATCACCACTTCTGCCTACACCTACAGCATCGCATGCAAAGTTCTCTCACAAAGAGATACAAATTTCCAAACTCAAATTGCATAAATATTTTATTAGCTTGAGACTGCTTTTTCCATAAGTAATGAGCAATTAACTAAAAATCACATGCATTTTCTCTCTATCAAAAGGGACTCCAGCTGCATTTCATGAGTGCTTGAGAATCCAGCCGCCTGTTCAGTAACCTGCATGCCATGTTTTAGTACAAAAAAGCCTGACCATCTCTAAGGTTGAGGTTATGACAATTATGTATTCTAGGGAGATACTGTTTCTTGCAAGTACTGCACCTACCACAGGGTGGAATTGGGTGGCCATATCACATAGCATCACATGCACTGCATGGAAGCAGCCTCTGAACTGATCCAACAACTCCTACAGACAGCCCGCAACCAATTTAATAAAAACAGTCATCGAATTCTACCAAACACTTTCTTCCTGCTGATCTCTTCTAATTAGACCTACCAAAAGCTCCTGCTAGATCAAACACAATGATAGCAGTACTTTAGCTTGTAAAGCCATGCTTTTAAGTTCTAGAAGACTAAAAGTTTTGGGTTAGGAGATAGTTTTCCTCTGAAAGGCCAATTGTGTAGGCAGGCCCAAGAAAATGTATCAAACTAAACACTACATATTCTTCATACTAGACAGTTTTACATACTTCATTGAAGGGGAAAGGAGCTGAGGTACTAGAAGGTACTTTGTTATCTCAGGCATCAAGAGAGAAATTGAAGAGCTTATAGCCCAACACCTACAGTAAGAAGAAGATAGCCATTCACAAGAGGAATTAGAAGCAATTGCAATGCTTTGTGCTGAAAACCATAATTATGCTTATAAAGCAAGATAAATATTACTGCAAGAAGATAGCGTGCCATTCAGTCCAGAATCTTCTAATTCAGGAAGTACTAAAAGCACCGTCCCAAAACATGGAAGGCAAGACCTAAAGGCCAAAGAAATGTACAAAAACTTCAAGCCAAGATAACACATCATCTCTTAAAACAAATTTAGCTCATGCCACTAGTATGGCAAAATCCTATGAAACAGCCAACACAATATATTTGTGCTCTTTTTTCTATTGTGCCAAGTATACTTAACAAGAATGGTAAATTTTTTTAACATGTATTTTTAACCATTATGGAACGTCTCACAGCTCAGTTTTGAAGTCAGACACTTAAACACCTAAAAATAAGAGGAACACCTAAAATGACTGAATAGCCTGTATTTCTCAACAGAAAAATCTCAATGCTGGAACTGTCAGTTCTCAAAATAAATTTCTATTTTTTGTTGTTGTTTTGAGAGCGTTTTAGTTGTTATAACAAATCTACTACTATCTAGTGTATTAAAGAGTCTACACCAGCTTCATCAACTGCCCCCACCTCCCCCTGTAACACTGATGTACATGGTACCTTCAAGTGGTACCATTAGGATCCAGTATTCACTCCAAACAAAGATGGTAGAGACAGATATTTGGTGTACCAAGCCATCTTCTGACAGAGACAGAACTTTCTTTCAGTGAGACTTCAGATATTTGACAAGTGTTCAATTAAGTTGTAAAAGCAGCAGAAATGCTCTACTGGGTCACACATACCATTTGCCCACTAGTATTTTACCTCCCTTGGCTACTGTTGGCAAACCTAGTCTCTTCCTCCAGACCTTTCCTTGCACAAAACAGTTGTGAATGTTGTTCCAATACTAAACACACCTCTGCTTAACACTTTATGAACCTGTTGGCTGTTAGTTTGTATAATCACTCCTAGAACCTGTTGAGAATTACTTGCTTCCCCTACTTCCTAGGGCAGCATCCTCATCCAAACAAGGCCTAGATTTCCTTCCTCAAACTTACTTTGCAAGAGGAAGGCAAGAAAGAAAGAGGCAAGAAAGAAAGGGTCAAAGGGAAGTGTCAAAGGGATGTTTGATTCCCTTTTTGCATATGGCTTCCATAGTTCTAGGAAACTGAAGCCCAGCTGTGTCCAGAAGTTAAATGTGAAATGGTACCTGTAAGCTCTGCCTGCACAAATCAGGCCCACATAGCTCTATCTTGATGATTAAACAGACTTTAATGACGCTGATAGAAATAAGAAGTGGTACCCTGGCAAACTTGAAAATAAAGTAAAGAAAGCAAGATAACTGAAAGTGCAAACATAAGAGCTGTGCAACAGGCCAGCTATGGACTTAAACAGTTACTCCTATTCAGATGGAAATCTTTTCTTCTTTGCCAGAACTATCGTCTTGACCAGTGCTGGTGTGTTCACAGCACACACACAGAATTAAACATTGTCTCACAGCACATATTGTATGACTGAGCAATTAATAAGTCATTGACAGCTTTGATGCTTGTCCTGAGAAATTCTGAAGCACTTGAGCAGGTGATGTTACTCTCCCGGAAGAAGAGCAGAAGTGGAAGTAAGGTTAATATGAGAACAATCCTGAAGATTAGAATTACTACTGAGTCTGGGAGTTTATCAGCAGATGAGGAAAAAGCAACAGAGGAAGCAGTCTAAAAAACTAACTTGTATTTTAAGCTTTTAAGAGTGAACAGTATAAGACCTTCTGCAAACAAGCATTGACATAACAGTTACTTCCATTTACATTTTAGCACAGATTTTCTCCTCATACCACAAAGTTTACGCTTTGCAACTTTTGGCTTCTGCTCTGGAATAGGAATCAAGTTTTTTTGAAAGACACCTTGTCCTGTGACGGTAGAAATTGTACCTTTCTTTGTAGGTGGCTCTTCTTCCACAGTAGGTTCATTTCCTAATGAACGCTTTCTTCCCACTTCCAATACAGTTTCCTCAGATTCCTTTACCTGACTGCTTTCAGCTACTTTGTTAGAGCTCTCCTCTGCCATTTTTCTTTTAATGCTAGTTACAGTCTTGTCCTGGATTAAAATAAAGTCAGTTACATTGAAGTTTTTACAAAATGAGCACTTAAGTCTTAGTACATTTTGTAAATGTATTTGCATACAAAAAATATTTGGGTAAGATGTTCCTCTGAAAACCCCCATAGAAATCAATTACATATCTTAAAGCAAGAGCAAGTATGCCTTCAGATACCGAGAGCACAACGCTTTCAACAATATAGAAGGCAGAGCAAGAGCTTGGGAAACTGCAAAAATGTGAAGATTCACATACAATCAATGAGTTTACCACCCAAAAAAGAATTTCCTATGTACAGAGTTTATATAATTGCCAATTTGTTTGAAGGACAAATCATCAGTTCTTACGACACTGAAGTGATGAGCTTGTAGGTGTTGCTATAGTTTGGAGTTAAAATCAACTTCAAAGGCACAGATCATTTTATTCATGACAGACAATGCAGTTTGAAAGCCTGGTCAGTTCTGTTGTACATACTTTGGACCAGGTGTTTAACTGAGTTAAGATGAGTTAAAGTTTCTTACAAGATGACACAAACAGTAAGCCATGCTGGCACTGCCAAGGACTTATTACTCATCCTCAAGACTTCAAGAAAAATCTTCCTAATAGTGTTAAGGCTCGTGGCCATGTTTTAAGTGTCATGCCACACGGTCTCATAGAAACATTGGATGGAGTTGGAACCTTGCTCTTGGAAAAAATAGTAATAATAGGTAGCAGTCATTGCGACTCTCACTCAGCTTTAATACTATAGAAAACCTCAATTGCAGTGAGGAAGAGATAGGGAATCAAAGGCTAAGCAAGGTCAAAGCCTTATTTTTTCAGGGGAAGAGAAACTGATTGAATGCTGACAAAGTAAACTCCATTTAAAGTGTTCTCAGAACTACTTAAGACTACTGAGCATCAGGTTCAAAAAAGCTACTGCATGTTTTTTCTTATTTTTTAAATCTACACACACTGCCCAGGTACACTTTAGGAATTCAGCAGCTAGCAGTACATTAGCCAGTAGCAAGTTTATTAGTCACAACAAAAGCAGAGATACCCTGGTTGTACATACTCTGGCTCTTCCTTTGGAAGTGGGTCTGTGGGATGATGGTTGTTGGGCCACACTAACATTTTCGTTCCTAATTCACGCAGTTGATCTTTATATTATTAACCTGAAGCTTCAATTAAATTTGAACTCTTCCTCTCAGTCCTCCCTTTCATTCAGGCCAAAGTACAGTCAATGACACAATCTGTTTGTTCCCACTGCCTAAGCCCTCCCAGTGTGAGCTGTTTCTTTAGAGGGCCTACTCAGTCTCATCAATAGTCCTCCAGTAATTTTAGTTCCATGCTTCTGAAGTCTCGTCTTTCATATTTCAACCCCAACACACACACTTTCCACTTGGTATTGCTTGAAATGGAAACAAGCGTGTTGAGACTGAACCTAGAAGTTATGACTACTTACAGAAAATTAGTTTTCCAAAACAGATAAATCCATGGCAAGCATAGGTTTGGTTTTTTTTCTTATAAAGAAAATTGAGATATGTACAACTTACATAGTCTTTTACAGTTTCTTCTAAATGGGATATTAAATCTTGTAGCCTTGTAATAACATCATCCTTTTGCCCCACAATGTCCATTAGTTCTTGAATCCTTGTATTCTGTGTATTCATTTTCTTGGAAATATGAAACAGCAGTTCAGTCAGTTTCTAATGTAGTATTAAGTCGTTGAATTAAACAATGCATTTTAAAGCAAGTTCAGATAAGCTCAAGCGAAAGAGCTATAAACGGACTGAAAAAAAGCATTTTAAGCTACCAGAAGAAGCACAAGATTTTCTTGATAAAATTACCTCAGTTGCTTTTTTAAGTTGCTCAGCAGACTCATCCAGTTTAGTCATCTGCATTTCAAGGTCTGTAACATACAGAGAAGTCTGCATAATATAAGCAGCCATTATATTGTTTACTCACTAGTGCATTTTTCTAAATACTCGTGTACCTAAGTAGCTTCTGAATAAATTGATTCATTTTCACATTAACTTCTCATAGAACACATTTCAAACGTCGTCTAGATTTCTTGGAGAAGGATAATGGAGTCTTGCAACCCATATTAAGCGTAAGTCATATCAAGAGAATGTTGAAATCATTGTTGTATCCTTTGTCAATATTCCACAAGGTACCTGAAAACACTGCCTCAACATCATGTAAAGCGTAGGGATTACAACATAATCATCAATAACATAGGCATTCTACCCCACACTTCAGAAAGTTTATAACTGTTTGTTGCAGACTTGTCCTAGAAAAACTAAAATGGAACAACCAAGATTTGTGTTGTTCAACCTGAATACACACACAACAGGTTACCACTTCTGGTATGCAACATGGTTCCCAGTTCTAGAGTTTCCCTCCTCCGCCCCCCAGTTCCCGCTCAAACGAATTATTTCCATTTCACCTTGGTTAACTATTTCTTCTGCCTTCCATATCAATCATACTCAACTCACCCCTGTTTTTCTGTGTCAGCTCTTCTTCGGCTTTGGTTAGTTCAGTGGTTTTCTTTGTCAGTTCTTCTTTGGTCTTCGTTAGTTCAGTGGTAATTTTTCCCAGTTGGTTTTCAAGCCAACCTACAGCTTCCTGTGGGTCCTCTAGGGACACAATGTACCTATGTGCTGCTTCTGCCTGCTTTTTAATATCAATGACATCATTCTGCAGAGAATCAATAATGCCCTCAAGATCAATGCAGGTGCCTGGCACTACGCTATATTCTCCATCCTGAAAGATAATTCACATCCATTAAAAATTGGCAAATAATTACACAATAACCATTATTTCTAGAAAAATAATGTAGAACACCATTATGAATTCAACTATAAAAAGACAATTTTAGTTCCAGCTTCAAACGCTATCTTGTGTGTTCACATGCAACTTGGTTGCCAGTCCTTGTCTCCCTCCACATACAAGCCTATTATCAAGTAACAGCTGCCCTATTTCTATAGCGTCTAATGATCCACCATTACATTCCCTTCCATACAATTACAGATAACTTGCGTTCAAGTTTAACATACAAGCTAAGACTTCTGAATGTGTACTTTAGACTCAGCAACCACTCTTCTATCTATATTTCATTTAACGTCTTGCTGAGGATACGGCTTTAGAAAACATCCTTGAAATAATCCTTCTGTCTAATCCCGACAAGGGATCCCACCCCATAAAAATTAGTAAAAACCAAAACAGCTTCAGGGGAAAAAGTCAATAAAAAATACCAGAGGTCCAGCCTGTTCACTGCAAGACTGATCCTTGAATTTCTCTTCTTCATCAGGGTTTTTAGTATAACCATTTACAAGTTCCTTGAAGATTTCCAGACGCCTTTCAGAATTTTCTTCGAGCCGTTCACGTTCATGAGAAAGACACTCTCTGTAGTAGAAAAGAAAGTCAGCTAAAAGAGCTGCTAAGTTATTAGCACAGCTTCCCATAAACAAAGATGTTTCTCCTTTATTTGGGTACAACAGAATAATACACAGAATACTACTCTTACACTAAAAAAAGAAGTGTATTTCCCCCCACTCCCCAAGATTTGCTGGGGGAATGGAGTTGGGAGATGGCAGCAAACAGAGCAAGGAGGAATTACAACAGTTTGAAGTGTATCCTAGAAGCATTTTTTCTAAGTTTCTTGAGCCAGAATACTTGTCTGGAGTATCACTAAGGACTCCAGAGATACAGCCTCCCCCTTCCCATGGCCCCACCCCCCAAACTTTCATACAGTGTATTTTTCCTGAACTCATAGTACAAATAGAAACAGATATATTAACAGGTAAGAGTAACAGAGCAAGCCTAGCAGAAGAGTACAATCTATTATGGCCAAAGGTCAGATTTTAAGAAATAAGTGTATTCACTTATTTTTAAGCAATAGTTCTAAGTCAAATTAAAAGCTAACTTACATGAAATTTATTTCCCACTCAGCCATGTATTGGGAAAATTCTTGTGCCATTTCTTCACGAACTTTTAATTCCAGCACTAGCTTATTTTTCTTTTCAGTATTAAGTTTGTTCTTCAAGTCTTTTATAAGACTCAGCAGTGCCTAGAATTACAATTAGCATTTTTCATAAAGTATTGGTTTCCCCAGAAGTGAGATTTTTCCCCATTCCTCGAACACTTAAACACCACTTCACTATGTCTGAAAAAAAAAAGTTCTTTCAATTCTTTTATTAACTTCTTCATAAACAAGAGCATTCACAATTAGATTGAAGAATAAAGTGCTGTGCTAGTAACGAACAGATAAATTTGCACAGAAATGGCATTTGTCAAGAACTTCAAGTCCTGCAAAATTAAGCTTTTTTAGCTCTTGTATTTCAAATACCCATTTTTGGTTGAGATAAATGAAGCCTCCACAAAACAGACTCTGATCTGTTCCCTACTCCCTCTTTTATCTGGAAGTAACTTTCTGAAGAAGCACTGTCCCAAAAGAGACTAAAATCTTAAAAGTAACTGTTAACAAAATGTAAGGGAAAGGTCTTCTCTGTTGATAGAACACAATCCTTGACACATACTGACCAGAGGTTACACAAAGCCAATAGAAGCAAACCTGCAGGTGTCATTGCTCAGTGTGTATTTCAACACATTTCATGCATCTTTCCTACAATAGATGAAAAATCTGAGTAATCCCGCTTTTAGTTCTTAACACTGGATTTATGGAAAAAGGTGATCAAAAGGAATACGAGAGAGGTGAAGGAAACCAGGAGAATACGTTTTTTCAAGACTCAGTGCTACACTAATTCCTGAAGTAGTCCTGATACGTACTGTATATTCTTCTTTTCCAATAAGGACTTGATTTTCATCATGTCTCTGCTCTTCTTCTTCTCTTTCCAAATTATGATGTTCCTCCATCTCATCATTATCATCTTCGATCCCATCTTCTACGCTCCGGTCCCATAGAATAGTAGCTCTTTTCCTCGGAATAGGAATTTTAGCATCACTTAGTAGTGATGATTCTCTTACCAATTTCTGGCCAAATGACTGATCATGGGGAAGAATAGATGTGTCCATAACTAAAACCTACTCAGAAAATAAAGAACAAAGCAATCAGTATTTCTTAAATCTCAGAAGCTTTGTGTCTTCCATTAAGGCTCCAGTACTGATCTGACAGTTTAGTCTTCTATCTTTTTCAAGGTTATATCATTGCATTTACTCTTAGCCATTCTGCTTAACCTCCACTTTCCTACTGAAACCTTTCAGGCTTTGCTGTCGAACTTTTGTCAATACTTGAACAGTATTCAGAATTCGGATGTCAGTGGCATATGGGGCAGCTAACATGCTCTCCTGGATAGGACTATATTATGTGCAGAGAAACAAAGTTTACCCAATTTTAGGGAGTTTCTTCTAAATATAAGAAGCCTCTTCCATTCAGGCTAGACATTTTGCAGGAGTAGAGGATTTTCTTGGTAGAGGATGTTCCTGCCCTCACACTCCAAAGTAAAAGAATGTTCTAGTAGAGCTTCTTAGACACTTCACAAGAAAATAAAGCCTGACTAAAAGTAATTAGAAAATTTGATCACAACATGGGGACAGAAAATGCAGTAATTAAATTCATGTTCTTAGAAGTGAGAGAGCCCCTTCTTTAAATGCAAATCATAATTATTGATCAACAAGATAAACAACTACACACTTACTTTTTGTGCAATGGCCGAGAATTTCAGCACATTGAGTGTTTCATCATATGCTGAAGCACACTGGCTTATGTTTACTATCATGTATACTTTCCCTCTTCCACTGAAGAATCCTTGAAGAAAATGAGTTAACTTACTTTCCCGAAATGGTATGTGCTGCTGCAGCCTTTGAAGACAAAAAAAAAAAAAAAAATCATGGCCAGAAGTTAAAAAAGTTCCAGTCAATATAAGAGCTATCCAGCTGGAAGACTACAAGCTATAACTAACTACAGTAATATTTATATGAATTAAAATTGTTTTTTGCTAGATACACCTGCTCATGGAGATTGCATGGCTGTTTCAGCTGCTACTTAATCATTATCTTCTCAGTTAGGATACAGTAAAACTACCAATGGGAGCCCTTTAACACGTTCAACATTTAACCTAGGGTAGGTCACACAGCCTCACATGACAGCTATTGAATTACATGAATAATGCTACAGAACATATCAAGGCAGTTACACTGTCAGAACATGTGACCCACAAGCAGGAACAATAACCAATCATTTTAAGAAAAATAACTGCAAAAAAGTCAAATATTTTAAGAAATCATGCTTCAGAACATTTGTTGTATGTTGTTAGAATTCCAAGTTATTAGGACCAGAAAGACATTCTGAATACATTCAAGCCCATTAAGAATCTGGTAGTTTTAATGCATCCTTCCTATCTAGAATGGACAGAAAGATAGGAGACTGCAAGTCACTAGCAAAGCTTTTTTTTAAAAAAAAAAAATCTTTTAAGCATAATAGTCTGTGAATAGGCTGTCAGGCACAGCGTAATGGCACAAGTGGTAAAGCTCATAAGGGCATATCATGAGCAAAGTGAGTTCATTCAACTTCTGGAACAGAAAGATCTTTAGATGAGAAACTGTGGAAAAGAATTCCTGGAAAGTTACAACCAGATGTGACAATATATATTGTACAGTTGTTTAAAATACAAAAAGTTCAGTCTACTCTCATTTAGATCCCAATCTAGCCTATAAATAGCAGGTAGGCTTTTTTGTCTGCATATGGTTACCATTCTTTCTGATCTGGCTAGTGTTACATCAAAATTTGGAAAAACAATTCTTTTTGTTAGGATAAACGTAGCAATATCACTGTGAGGAAAATTGGGACAGTAGAATTACATAGCAAATTGTTAACAGAGAAATAAATGAGTTAAACGTTCATCCTTTTACAGTAAGGGTACTGAAAAGTGGTTTTAAAAGTCATTCCAGAATTTGTTTGACAAGCCAAACTCAGAAGAGTTAAATTGCTAAAACCTATGACAGCATGTTTACCAATTTACAATTTAATGATTTAATTAAAAAGCAAAGCAAACAAATTTATAGAGCACTTTAGTAGATCAAAAAGACTTTATACATCTGGAAAGTCTATCCATCTTTTCCAGAAGAAACTCAGCGTCAGCTAGTATATTTCAAGTACTAGCTTAACTGTTGTATGCAATGCGTGAGAAGTATATATGTATATATATATATATGTATATACATGTTTGCAATCTGTAGGACTTACTTTGACTGTTGACAGTTCTTGAGTGCATTAATACACTTGCCTAGAATCAGGAGAGAGGTATTTATATTTCCACTCTCTTTCAATCTATCACCTTCATTACGTGTCTTGGTGCATCTTTCTGAACCAGCAAGATCACACAGTGACAATCTAAAGGCAAAAATAGGAAAATTCAGCTTTCTTGCCTTGGAATATGCGCTAATTATTTATCACTTTAATCAACTTTTCTTAGAGAAAGGATTTTTTAGTCTTCATCTACATCAACCCTTCCACCTTTTCAGCATTGCTTCCCCAGTCAAGTTTGACACTACTTCCTGCCAAACCCCTTCCCAAAAAGCTTCCTATATTTCCCCTTCATCCTCTTCCGTGAGGACTCGTATGACTTCATAAGTAGAGTGAAGCAGGGTAGGGAAACGTTGTGCTGAGCAGAGGATGCAAGATATAGAACATTGCAACCTGACAGCTTGAGGTAGAGGGTTAGTACTACAAATAGATAAGAAATGGGGAAACCATAGTTTTATGCATGAGGCCAGGGAACACTAGGTGTACAGCATAGTACCAATACACCAGCATGGAAGGCAACTAATGACACATCCCAAAGGAAAAGGTGAATTCTGCTCTGAACTTACTCATTGACTCGCGTCACCCGGGGTGTTTCAAAATCTTCAATTTTCAGTACCTTAACTGTGAATATGCTGTGACTGAAAGAAGTTGGAAGTCAGTAGAGAGAAATGAAGTGAGACTAAAACTTAGAAAAAACACTTTGCTATCTACAACACTTGTTCAAAACCCCGTTAAATCTGTCCATGTATCTAAGCATTTACTCTACCAGATACATTGAACTTTTTAAACAGCTGGAACTCACACTAATTATTTTGCTTAGAGGAAGAATTTCTTGGTCTTCATCTACATGAAACCTTCTATTCTTTTCAGCTTTTCTTTCGGGATATAAATTTTTGTTGTATGGATTTTGCCCCCCCCAGACATCTAGATGGACTAAAGCTAAGTTCGTCTGCCTTGAAGAGAATATTTGATAAAATATTGTTAGCTTTTATACACATTCATCTTCTTGAAGGAAGAATCCTTTGGATTTAAAGCATGGGGTCACATGCTGTTAGAGGACAAATTGAAACCTATGTATCTAGAACTTGTTAAAACCTCTTACCCTCCGAAAGCCACAGTCCATATTTTAGCTTCTCCTTCCCACCCACACCATCTTATATTCTATGTTATTCAAAATTTCTCACCTTCTGCTGGAGGAAGTATTTAATTTTGTACTTGCAATACTCTGGTGTTTCAGCCCCAGTTTCAGAAGTCTAAAAGCTTCTCTGGAATCAGAGATCTGAACCCATTGCAGATCTTTAGGAAAAAAGAAAATCATTTTGTAACCATCATTAGACAACAGGAAGAAGAAAGCTGGGGATAATATATGCACACGGAGAATTATACATTTTCAAGCCATACAAACATTTTACTAATGTTTTTACTAATTTTACTAAAACTCTTCAGACAAATTATAGAATGATAACAGAGAGGATTAAATTCCTCCTCCAATGAAAAAGAAAGGGCAAGGTATATCACATCATTTCATCCTATCAACACACCAAAGCATGTTCTATCCAAATTAAGCAAGCAGCCTTAGCATGAGCACTGAAAAAACGAGGTAGGCTCTAATATTACAAAAGTCCTATGTATGCATTAAGGCAGAATACGCGAACCACTTTCTGTTTCAGCCAGCAGACTGGGAGTATGGGGAAGAACACCCACAACAGGTTATCTGGATACCTTTTCGGGCCACCAACTTAACTGAAAAAGCATCAGTGAGGAATTTTGGCTACAACATAATGACTATTTCATCTCTGTATGTGCTAGAGTTAATACCTACAGTCACCCTAACACATCTTATAATATCAACAGCAGAAAGGCCACCAAAATTGTATTGTCAAGTATACCATGTGACCAAGAAAAAAAAAAAAGAGTCCTTAAGTGGTTCCTCAAGAAAAAACAAATCATTAAGTGTTTCTCTCAATAACAGCCTGACACTAAGCTTTATAATCAAGATTAAGCCAAAGCATAGCTCGAAGTAGGCTATTTCTTATTTCACACACTTTGGTGTTTGAAGAAGTGAATGAGTTAGGTTTAACGTCCACTTCAGCTTTCTCAATTTATGGCCTTGCCTATGTAAGATAAAAACATGCCAAATACCAGCAAACAAGCTTTTAATAATCTAGAATTGGCATCTCAATTGTCAAAAAAAGTAGAACAAGTCAAACAAGTATCAAACCCTACTTTTTCCAGGACCCGACATGAAGATTGAATTGTTATATGTGAGGTCTGATACCACCCCCCAAAACCAATAATCAAACTTGTAATATTATTGGTTTGAAGTACTGTAAAATGTAAATCTGTAGCCAGAACAAGTTTTCTTATATGGTGACTAAAATCTGATTTTCCACAGAAGATACTAAGAAACCCTAACTGTTGAGCCAGTTATAACCACAGGTAAGAACTTCTAGAACTTTTTTTTTTTTTTTTTTTTTAAATGGAAAAGAATAAGATTTAAGATTCTCTTGTTTCTATGTTTCTAAGAAATATGAAGACTGTGGAATCCACACAGGCTTACATGCAGGGAAAGGGAAGACAATATTGAAGATAAGAGCTGTATATAGACTTGCCTTTCATATTCAACTGGACATTTCTAGTGCTTCACTGAATCTATTTAGGCATTTTCTAATCTAGAAAAACATGACTATAGGAAGAACAATTTTCCATACCAAGCTCCACATTTTACAATAGATTCTAATCACCTTTTACATAAGGACATCCCTTGACATCTTGAGCCAGGCGGAGTGTTTTTCTTTTCTTGTCATTTGATATAGGAACCAGTAAATCATAAAAACATTCATTATATATCTCAAAAAATGATACCCAAACAGAGAACTTCAAGTAATTTTCCACTGTTGTGCTAGATTGTTCTGGTCCTTTTAAGGGTTCTTCCAAGTCTGTCAAGAACAAAATATTACAAAGTAAACAGAGCTAGCAAAGTGAGCTGTATTTAAGTAGTTTTATCTCGTATAATACCAGTTTAGGGTAGATGCACAGGTAGTCTCCTAACCATTTCATCCTTGTGTTTTCTGTCTAGATAGCTTGCTCATTATTCAGTTCAGTCATAATAATAATAATAAAAGGATCATTTGGCATTTAACCTAAGCCAGAAGCCAGTTATCGACCTTAAAAAGCATCTTTGCCAGTTTTATTAATGGTAGTTCTTTAGTATCAAACATACCCTTAGAATCAACTGGTGCTTTGCTGTTGGCAGTATTTTGATGCTCTACCTACAGAAAAAAAAAAACAGAGACTTTAGGATGTATCATTGAAGTGCGGCTTGTGAGCACACTTCTAGAAATTAGAGGAGGCACATACATCACGTGAACAGATTTGTTTACTGTTACTGCATGTACCTACACACAGCCGTTTATTTTATTCTTATATTCTCACTCAACCTAGATCAGTTTTACACAGCTTTTTCCCCCCCACACACACACAGAGAAGACTTTTTTCCCCTAAAGTACTTAAAGACTGTTGAAGCTATACTGAATACATGCCTGTGCCTTTAAAGTGAGTTGTACTGCCACCTACCTTCCACACCACAGAAATTCACACTTAACTCACAGATAAAATCAAGGTAACGAACTCCACAAGTTAGAATACCCCAGTAAGACCAAGCACACCACTAAGGAAATGCTTCAATCTTCCCCAGTGAAAAAAGAAAATAGCACAAGAATCACTCTCTATTTTTAGTTTGTAGCATCTGCTCCTTTTTTGTAATACACCATCCATTCTGAATTAAAAACACCAAGAAAGAAGTATGCTAGTGTAAGACACAGCCCCCACAACTGTAATTGGACTAAGCAGGTTGAATTCCAGATAACTCATGCAACTGAAGTGTATTTTTGGACCGCTCAACAGTTAATGACAGCTATCTGCTAAGACTACCAGAAACCTATTTTGTTTCAAATCTTTAAAGCTCCGCTGGCTTTATGCCTTTTCCATTTCAAAATAATTTTTGGCTTCCTTTAAATACACAATGCCAACCTGAAAGAGGGAAATGTCCTGAAGAGCATGAATTTCTTCCAGGTGTCCTGGAAGCCAGTAAACTGTTTAAAGGTATGGACCTACCCATGTCCCCACAGATTGGGTGCTACTTACATTCAGTCTTTATTAACGAACAGCAACCCCAGAGGATAAGTTATTAAGTGCTTAAGCTATAGAAAAAAAACCTTAGAGCTTACATGCTATCAAGCATTCAGCTACAAAACAAATCCACAGGAGACCACGGCTCATTAGCTCTATTGCTTACTTTACTGCTAATTTGAGTGCCTGCCCAATAGTAGATATACCCATGCATAAACACAGAAGCCTCTTTCCATTGAAAAATGAACAGGAGGAACACTGAGCTATCTAAGATGCATGTGCTTATCATAGAAAGAAGCGCTCCTCTACCTCTTTTGTTAGACGAAGTAGAGAGTTTTTAATAGCAGTTTCTTCTCTCACTTGGTCTTTAGTCAGCTTTACATAATCTCTACATCGATGGGGTTTGAGATCCATTCCTGGGTATAGCCTTCCTTGAATACTTTTGAACAGCATATCCATAGTCCTTGGCAGAACACCAATGTCATCTTCAGTTCCTGTAAGCAGCATCCAAAAGAAAGATACCAGTTACTACTGTAAACAAGATATACACATACATGAGGACAAAGATAAGTGATTCCAATCTCAAGGCATACATGAGGAATTCGGAGGCCAGTTACAGCCAGAAGTAATGTTTTCCATGTCCTTATGTCAGAGTGCTTTTGGAAAGTATTGGCTTGAAGCAGCAGCTCATGCTCTATTCCTTTGATAGTACAGGATCCACCATAACACAAAGAATGACAGCAAAAACTGTATAAGCTTAGCCTTACAAGTTTGAAAAGTCTATTGCGAACACAAGTGAGACCATGTACTGGAAAAGTTACGGAACGCTCTATGAAAGTTATCTATGTGTTTTTAAAGACTTAGATATTGAGCAATAGTAAGAATTGACAGGGCTGAATGGTGAAGACCTAGAAGCATAATACCTTGAGAAAGCATCAAATCTAAAAATGCATTAATGAAAAAATTTAATGAATAGCCACACCTCATAACATACCCCAACCCAGTTCACATCAAAAAGAAATGCTGTTTCTATTACAACAAGAAATAGTTGGCATTATCACCCCCAAGTAATGATAACTGAATTCACGGGCAGTAGTCTTCACTTATAATTCACCTAAAAGAACATAACCTAGAATGACACTGAACCTTGTGTCATAGGAAATTCACATTTATTGAAATGACTGATCACTAGAATACCGATTGTCTTCTACTACTTCTGTGTATCAGGTAATTCATATAGCATCTAGAACTACTGAAAGTATCATAAAGAAAAAGGGGAACTTGATTCTCTGTAAATCCGGTCACCTCATTTGTTAAGATTGGTTGAAAAATAAAGAAGGACATCTTCTGGCCAGAAAGGAGATTGAGCTTTAACAGTACAAAAATAGATGATCTTGACTCCTGATGTGCTGTGATATTATTGCTAAACTCGGATACTTGAGGCAAGGTATAAATACTTAAAAGTAATCAAACATTTTGAAATGTTTGCTCTTTGCCTATGACAAATGTTACAAACTCAGATATGCTTTCTTCAAACAAGGAACAGCATTAAAGATACGTATGTAACTTCAATGTAGCAACAACAAAAAAAAAGAAATTAGCCTGCTGTAGAGTGACTTATATACCAGGATGTGAGAAGTGTGTAGAACATGTATTTTTTCTCAACCCCCCACCGCCCCACACTGACATTCAAGACACCTGACTAAAATTGTTACAGCCTTACAAACGAATATCACTGTATGTATACATAAATTCTGGTAGTGACTCCAATTGCTGCCAGTTTAATGATATTTGTTATGGAATGAGACTTTCAAAGGCAATTTACTAATATTTGCTAATATTAAAGAGAAGCCAACATGCAGGTTCTGTAGTATCACTAAATGAAAGAGTTAGAATGACTCTACCAGAAGGAATTCTCACTTTACTAAGTGAAGAAAGTTAGTTCATTAGTTCAAGGAAAAAAAGTCATTACTCATACCTAGGAACGTGTATGTTTTCCCAGCATTTGTAACACCGTATGTAAAAATAAGACGATTATATCCTTCTAAGAAGTCTTGCACTGGTTGCTTCATTGTACCTTCAAAGAATTCTTCTTGAGTTGTTTCAGGTCCAAAAACCTGAACATTACCAAGAAACCGGTTAATATCTTTATTTAATCAATCATTAAAGACTTTTAAAGAACCAGGTATTGTTTTGTTTTTAATCTTAGACTAAAAGATTAAAAGAAGTTTGCTTGTTTTGCTTTTATTAAGTAATAGAAGTCAAGCAACATTTTTCCCCCCCCCAATAAATAACTTAAAAGCTTTTAAAGACAAGTCATTTACCTGTGAAAAAGTGAATTTCTGTATCTGCTGCCCAGCAGTTTTTTCACTCAGTCGATTCAAGGAATTTTTAGGGGGCTTCAGTATAATACTTGTTGAATCCTCCACTAAAAAACAGTCCTATTAAAAGGAAGCAAAAGCAAAACAGACATGAAAAAGAGTAAAAAGCTCACCTTACTGGAAAGGCATATATATTTTTTAATTAAATAAATGTCACACCTGTGATTCATTTTCTTTTTCCAATAATGTAAATGGCCTAACACGCAGGCAAACTTCAATGTGTCCTTTAGACTCCAAACTGCTCCTCTTAAAATAAAAGATGAGAATGAAGTTAGAAGTTTGACTAGATTCTGCTGTGCTTCTAACGTGCTGATATCTAGCACGTTAAGGCATTGCTGTTTTCATTAGGCTATTTTGGATAGACTCATCTGATGACACAGGAAGCAAAAATAACTCACTATGTCAGTTTTCACAAGCACTCAGGCCCCTACAGTAGTTCCCTGTGATAACCTAAAGTCTCAAAACAAATAATATTATAGCACATATGTATACTGCATTGCAAGAACAAAATACATAAAAAAAATCCTATGATTAAGCTGCACTGATCTGACATTAGCCTCATCCACATGTAAAGATGATGCACCTTTTAGGTGCATCACCGCAATTTTGTCTATCCTATGCATACCCTTCAAATTAAAAGGACAGTAAAGAAGCTTTTCATCTCCTCTGTAAAATTGTAATGATTCTTACCAATGAAAGAACTACGTTTATTAAAACAATCAAAATAATGTAAGCATTTAAAGCTTTCTTACCTGGCTTGTATCAGAGCTTGATGAAACCAATGAAAATTCATCAGAGAGATCTGCTTTAATATCTTCCACACTTACTGGTCCTGTTCTTTGAGGCAGCTCAGCACTTGTAACGTAGGATGGTCTGAAAAATTTATCTTCATCCCAAATTGGGTCCATCCTGCAAGATGATATATTAAGTATTTTGTTTGCTATTTCTAGATAATGTAGAGTTTCTAAACTCTGACAGATGACATGAGGCTAAGTGACACCCATAACTTCTTTCAGGAGAAGGCTTTCTTCACACTGTTCATGGCTTGCACATCAAGCTTCCAATACTTGGACAGAAGCATTGACATCAGAACGCATTAAGACCAGCCACAGTTTTCTGTGAAAAGCAACTTGTCCTGGTTCCAGATAAAACAGTGTTAGTTTTCTTCATAGTACCTAGTATGGTATCATGTTGTGGATTTAGGAGAAGGAAAACATTGATAACACACAGATGTTTCAGTTGTTGCAGAGCAGTACTCACACTAAGTCAAGGACTTTTCAGCTTCTGTTGCTGCCCTGCCTGGGAGGAGGCTGGGGGTGCTCCAGGAGCTGGGAGGGGACAGAACCAGGACAACTGGCCCTGGCTGCCCAGAGGGATGTCCCATACCATGTGTTGTAGTGCTGAACAAGAAAACTGGGGAGGCTGGCTGAGGTGGGAGAAGCTGCTGCCTACCATGTTCCTGCATGTCAGTCAACAGGTGGTAAGCAATTGCATTGTGCATCTTATTTTGATTTTATTATTTCCCCTTCCTTTATCTCAACCCATGAGTTTTACTGTTTTCCTGTTCCCTCCCATCTCATTGTGGAAGGGGTAAATGCACAGCTGTGGGCTGCTATGCTGCCTGCTGTGCTAAACCACAACACAACTGTTTACCAGGAAAAAGCCTTTTCTGTGTACCACAACCTTGCCAAAACCACAGTGCCTGATTAGAAAATGTTTACATACACTATTTAATAAGAACAGCCACATTGTTCCATATCCGCTTTGTCACATTTTGCATTTAGTGTCCAGTTGGAATAAAAGCTCCTTGCAAGATTAATCCAAGCTGCAGTTATCTCCACAGGACCTAACAAACAGTTGGAATTGTGGAGATAACCCAGGGTAGCTTAACATGGGACAGACCTCAGAGACATTCCACAGCCTAACGGTTGGTGACTATGACAGTTGGTGACTTCGCGGCTTTTATTGGGCGTTACAGTAGCTCGCTGGGCTGTTACTCACGCACCACGGCAGCAAGTGTCTTGGCAATTCAACAATTATTTATTGCCCGGCTTCCCACTATTTTGGACGCAGCGATTCAGCAGCCTTCCAACGCCCACCCCCACGCCTACACCAGAGAACCGTACGGCTGCCACCTCCCTAAAGGCAGCAGGGGACACGCAGCGCTCGTTAAAGAGCAGACAGCGCCAGGGCCGCTTCAGAGCCCCCTCGCTCCTGACCCCACAGCCCCCCCCCCAGCCCCGTGTGCCCCACACCCGCCGCGTTGTTCGCCTACAGCACGCACACGGCTGCGCCCCGCGTCGCCTAACGGGCACCAGCCGGCCGCGGGGCCGCAGCGGGAGGGCTGCGCAGTGAGCACAGGCCGGCAGCCGCCCTGACAGAGCCCCCGGCCGGCAGCAGCAGCGCCACGACCCGCACAGAGCCCCCTCACCCCGGCCCCACCACCCCTCACCTGCCCCGGGAGCAGCGGACGGCTCAGAGCGAACCGGCCGCGGGCTCTATTCAAATCCAGCCAATGGCAGCGCGCCGCGCCGCGCGGCATGCTGGGAGCCGGGAAGGGGCCGGCCGCTGGAATGGATGCGGCGGCGGCGCAAGGCTCGCTGGGAAATGTAGTCCGGGGGGGTGGGGGGAGGCGGTAGGTGGGGGGGCCTGCTGTGAGCAGCGGCCTGGGGGGCTCCTGGGACGGCAGCGGGGGAAATCCGCCGGGTTTCTGGTCAAAGCAGCGAGTGCCAATCGCTGTCCTGATCGTCCTGTTACAGAATGGCAGGGCACGGTAACGCACAGCGCTTATAATGGTAACGTACGGCTCTCGTGGTAACCGACTGCAGCTCTCGCTAACAGCAATCGCCACACGTTTCTCCTCAGGCTCACTCAGGGGTGCTTTGAACGCTAACGAGGACCGGCTGTCTGCTGTGCCTTGGAATAAAAGGAAAAGGCAAGTCGTAACTACCGAACCCAGAGGTTTGTTTTTCATTTGGATGAAAGAGCGCCGTGTAAGCGCAAGGAATTCTGTAAAAATAAATAAATAAATAAATAAACAGTCTACGCAGGTCTTGTATCTTGTATCAAGCTTTGATGAGGTTGCCTTACATCCCATAGTCCCATCGTTCTTTAAACAGAGGCTGTGTCATCAGCAAAAGATGTGTATTGGATCTGGGTTTGGATGCAGGCCATTTTGCAAGAGTTGCTCTGTTTTAACAGCACAAAATGATGTAACTTTGAATTTGAAATCGTTTGCTAAACATAAGCGAAAAAGCTCTTTTAGACTCTTTGAGTCTAATTTTTTAAAAGTATCCTGGTTTCTGTTGTGAACAGAAGTTACTGAACTCAGCTAATTCCAAACAACCTGTGTTCCTTTCAGGAGGGGACTGAGAACAGCTGTCAAAGAAAGGGAAGAAATTGCTTCTGGGGCAAACCTGAAAGTTCTTCTCTTCCACTTGCTGGGAAGGAAAGCTGAAGATCTCTCAGAATATTTTGCAAGGTATGTTTTGAACAACGTTGCACTATTTCCATCAGAATTTTTTTTCTTGCTAAGGTGAGGAGCATAGCAAAGGATATGCTACGAGCAACATTTTGGTTTTGTTTGAACACTAGATTTCTGAAGCTATTTTTATTAAACTGCACATGCTGCATAACTTAACCTAGTATCTCAAAGGGATGTCATCATCATTCTAAAAGAGCAAACTAAAATACAATTTAACATGCGCTCCTAACCTTACACAAACTGTGATAAAGAAAACATTAGATCAGCATAACCAACCCAGCCTGTTTTGGCGTGAAAGATGATGAAACACCATCTATGTAAATAAACGTTATGGCATTCTACCAATATAGTCTCCTTAAGTGGTTTGTGCAAGGACAGCCAGTTACAACAAATACCTGCTGCCAAAACTATTAACTCATTGCCTTCTGAAATTTGATTATGTTCTTTTCAAATTCTCTGTAACTTGTGGAGCAAAGTTGTCACTCCACAAGGGGGTAAGATTTTTATAAATGACTTTTTAGAACTCTCCCCATTATCCTTGGAAACATAGGCTGCTTGTATTTGGGACAGGGTTCAAAAGTTGTGGATAGTTTACTCATCTGAGTAATAAGATGCCTTGTGAGACAGCTTATCTCAGTTGGCTTTTACATAGCTGTCAGAAGTAATTAGAGACACAGTCAGCACAGCTGGGACTTGGCCCAGAACCCTTCAGCACATCCGAGCAGCAGCCAAACCAGGATTGGCTCCAGTACCTTTGTAGTCAACTCACCTTCCCCAGGGAATTAACAAAGTACTTCAGTATCCCGTCATTGTCCTGGGTCCACTGTTCTTCTCCCGCGTTTGGCTCACAGAGACAGGCTTCCTTTCCAGTCTGGTTGCTGGGAAAGTCCTCCTGTGAGGGTTAGTTTGGAGCTCATTGGCACAGAAAGCTCCTGGTTATTGTCACAGGTGTCTTAGCAGAAAATGGTGTGATTCTTGAGTTATCTTCTTGGTAGTTGCTGCATGAGCCCCTTTTCACCCCATCCTTCAGGGCAGTGCTTGTTATTGATCTTGTCATTTGCACAGTTGTGGAAGCATTTCACACTGCCCTGAATTTGAACCTATGAAGAAGTACCCTCACTGTCCCACCCCAATCATTTGCCTTCAGGTGACAAAATTTCTCATGTGTACGCAGCTAATTTTATGAACTCGACACTTTGCAGGCTGTTCATTTGCTTTTTATTTTTCTTTAGTGCCATAGGTATGTTTTCCTTCACCATACCTTCTAAGCAACAAGCTATATCCTTGGGCTTTCAATTCCCAGTTTGTTCCATACCATTTTGCTATGACCAACTCACTTCTTTACTTTGCCTCTTGCTCATTCCTTACAACGTCTCAATTTGGTTTTCCGTGGAAGATGGTCTCCTGGTGCCTGGAACCTTGAGACTAGCATTAAAGGCACAAACAGAAGAGAAAAATGGCTTGGATTCTTCAGTGCAATTTTGTGCTTCAGGGTATGCCTGCCCGAGCTCTCCCTTCATCCCTGGAGCACGGAGGCGGTCACCTGAAAACCAGCAAGTTTGGTGGCTGTCCAGTGCAGACTTACACAGCATTTCTTCCCTCAGTCAGCCACGACAGACTGCCAGACAGAGCAGGTGACAGCAGCGGGGCTGGGCTGGGTGGTCAGAGCCTCTTCCCTTTCCCCCAGTTCCCCAGTGGCTGTTCCCTCGGGGTGCCCAGTGGCTCAGCATGCTGCCCTGGGGTGAATTGGCCCCAGCCCAATTGGCCCACGGCTGGGGGCACAGCGGAGTTAAGATGGCTTGTCTGGATGCCACATGGTGTGCACGCTGTGCTCAGCTGCAGCCTGGCCAGCTGGTCCCATGCCTGTGTTTTGTGTGCTGCGTGTGATCAGCACGCTGGTTTTAAGTCTTTGAAGTTCTATTTAAAAACTCGTGTATGATAAAGATAGTATTACTCGTTGAGCGGCAATGTATTGCCTTACGTAGGAGAAGGTTTGGAGTGTATTTTCTGAGATTATTTTGTTCAGTTGTGTAACTCCAGACTTAGTTAATCTTTTTTAACTAAAGTGTTTTTTAAGAGTGCAGCTGAGACAAAGAAGCTGTCACTAATTCTTCCTGTTTCTCCCTCTACCCTCTCATTACTCGTTCTGTCCTTTATTTCACAATTCTCTGTTGAACTAAAAAGATCATTTAAGCTGTAATCAACCATTTAATTTTGTAACTGAAAACATCTCAAAATTATTTATATTATCGTACTACAGAAAAAAAAACAATCACTGCTTTGAAGGTCTGATCTAGCATTTTGAAATGGTTACCAACTATATGAGGGTACTTAGCTTCTTAGATTATTTTAATTTGAACAACCCTTTAATGAGCACATGTAACAAAGTGCCTTGTTCTATACTGGCTGTTGTTCTGCCTTTTCTAGGGTCTTTCTACAACTGGCAACAAATACCTCAAGACCACTACGGTGGCTAAGGATTTGTTGCTTTAGTGCTGAAAGGAGCTGAAGCATTTGGACATCAGTCAGTTGATCAGGCCAAGCAACACAATACCATATTAGTCAGTATTATAGCAAAAGTGGCCTTAGCTGGAGAAAATGGGGAAATATGTTTTTGCATTGACACAAGTATTTGTCATGTTAATATATCAGTTGTTTTGTCTGACTTATTCATAGTCACGTAGCAAATGGTGTAGTTGGTTATCAGGTGTTTACCATGTCTGTTGTGAATATTAAAACAATTGTTTAAAATACACAGTCAAAGTATTTTGTAAAAATGTAGTTACACAAGAAAAAAGGACTGCTCTTAAATTAAGTGATTATTGTTATTAAGAACAAATCTGCATAGATGGCTTTTCCATAGAATTGGTTGATAAGTAAAACTTCTGGGACATTTGTGGCGTATCCTGCAGCATTAACACTAACTCAGCCAGTTCCAGGACACTGTCTCATTTTGTGTTAAGATTGCACTGCATCATGTAAGCTGGGTACTTTTGAGTTACTGGAAATTACGTAATTGGGGATGTAGGCAGAGAATCCACAAACAGAAATATTGATAGTATTGACTAGACATATAATATTCTTCCCTCCTAATCAACATGATGCTGATGTCTCAGGAGATACCATAAGAAGTGGTTTTGCAGTGGGAATGGTAAATTGAATCATCTGCTGAGTGGCAAAACTCACACCAACTTCTCTGTCTTCACACCTTTATCCCAGGATGTGGGATCCTTACACCACGATCTTACACCTTTAACTGCCACTGGACAAGGTTTTTGCCTTCCTTCTTGTTTAAAAATTGTTGGATAGCATTGTTGATACAGAAGGACAGACACAGTCTAGGCATGCTCGCTGCTTCATAAAATGTTGTCTGTACATGCTGCTTAGATTTCATGAACATGTGTTTTAAGTGTGAATCCAAATCTTGTTGGTTCCCTGAAATGCCTTTGTATTTTTTTTCTAAACCTGGGCCTAAGTTCTGCAAATATTTGCGTAGTATCTTTCTAACTCAGGTCTGGGACTAGGCCTGTTGCTGCATTTTGCGCTACAGTATATTAATTATTTTCTTTGCAGATTGTGTGTTGGCTTGTAGTCTCCAGGTGAAGGACTGGGGATGAATTCCAGATGTAATTAGTAAAGTTTTATTTATCTTGATGTGTTGCTGATTCTTTTTCAATCAGCCATAGAGCTGTTCAAATATAAATATAGGTAATCATAATTTAATGTTAAAATCTGAGGACTGACTTTCCTAAAATGAAATATATCTTTGGTTTTTTTTGTTTGTTTGTTTGTTTGTTTGTTTTGTTTTGTTTTTCTAATAGAGGTTTCAGAAGTTCTATTTCAGTTCTAAGCTTCTTATGGCAATTATTCATATTGCAAGGAACTCAAGCTTTAATCCTTAGGATGACTTTTTTGAGAATACTGCTTCTTCTTTTGCAGTGTTACATACATTTTAGGCTATACGTAGCGGTCTAATGATTCCAGAGCCCTCAGAACAGCCCCAGAAAATTTTACCGAAAGAAGTCATTCTATTGATGATCACATTTTCACCCGTTGTTCTGTCATTTTACTAGAAACTTAGTAAGAAGTACATTAGAGCACGAGGTCAATACAAACCCAGAACAGTGCAATGCAGAAGTAGTAAAACTGGCTGAATGCCAAGATATTTCTTAAGATATATGCGTATTTATTAGTTTCATGCAGAAGCTGCAAGACTGGATGCTGCAGTATCTCAAAAATATGAGGTGTCTCAAAAAGATGAGGTTCCGGGGCCAGAAGATTACTGCTTATGTAAGACGGGCTAAATCCAAGGAGCAGGATATGTTACAGTGCAGCCACTACAGTATTTCAGTGTAGTATTACTCATCGGTCTGGCTCTTATACCCAGGACATAGCTGCATTTATTCTTGGCAGCACCCCTGTCTGTCTTGACCTCAGAAGCTAGTGCTGTTCTCTGGCGTTACGTACTGTTCCTCTGAATGTCATCATGGCGTTGGGCACTCTGGGCTTCTCCTTGACCCCATGTGAAGATGTGGATGGAGTGGAATAGTCACGCCACTGACCTTCACATGTTGGATTTGGGCTTCCTGGAAAGAGAGGAGAAAAGTGCTCAGAATTGTTTCAGGCATAGGTTAAATTCTTGTTCTGGAAGTGCTGTTATTCTGCTTGGTACAGCTAAACAACGTGACCACAACCTGAATTGCCCAGGAGGAACCTTGCTTTCTTTACTAGCCTCTTAGTTTAGATATAAAAGTAAAACGTGTAGTATTAAGTGACACAGTTATCCTACAACATGATAGAAAGCAAAGAAGGCACATTTAGAAAACAAATTTCTCAACCAGTGACTTATCTCTAAAGCACTTGAAAGTAATGGTTCTTCGACAATAGAAAATGACCCAGGGCATTTCCTGTTTCTGTGTGAAGTCATCTCTTTTTTTTTCCTTTACTCTTCTAAAGCCTGTATTTTAGTAGTCTATCAGGATGCACAGTGCCTATCCTGTAGGAAAGAGAAAAGGCAGGGAGTTTAATACATGTCAAACAGTCTGTCCTGTGTGGAGTTGTACTCCTGAGAGAAAGGACCTGGGTTTGTGCCATGCAGTGCTGAAGAGAAACACAGCCATCTTCCCTGAAAGTGGGCCGGCAGGTTAAATGTGATAAATAGGCACGGAGTCTCAGTTGCTTCTCAAAAGGAAGGTTAATGAACAGATAATTGTTTAAACACATTCTTAAACCATTATTTTCAGCCAGACTGACAAGCAGATCTGCATGGACAAACAAGTTCTGGGGCAGCAGAAGAGCAGGCAGAAATGCTGGTGGGACAGGAGGGCCAGGCTGCTTCTGTTCTGTTAGGCCCTCAGAGATTGGCTACGCTGCTTGTCAAGTTGCATCTTTGGCAGTTCTTCAACCAGAAGTCAAATATGCTGGCTGGATATACAAATATGCAGCCTGATATACTTACCTTTGGGCATATCCGGACTTGTGCAGGTAGAGAATTTCCAAGTGTAGTTCAACGTAGAGTTCTTAATTTGATGTTGTTCTGCCTCATGCTGTCACAACATGCTCCAGCCAAGGATGAGTGAAGTTTTCAAACAGGCCAGGCTTCCTTACTCAGAGTTTGCACGCAGCTAATCTGAGGAAACTGAAAGGTTTCCACCAAAATGGTGAGTTTTGCCAAGCTCTGGCTGATCTGACTCTCAGAAGGTAAACCCAATTTTGCAAAAACAGAGACGTAAATGGCCAGATTCCATTGCCAGTGAAACCTTGATGTTTCTCAATTTCCCCTGTGCTGTTTCAAAAGACTGAAGGATTTGCTTGCAGTTCCAATCAGGTGCTCCTGTATAAAGTTGCCATGTGTTCTCATGCTACCATGAGAATACCATACCATATATATGGGTGCAACAAAGAATACAAAAAACTCAATCTTCATACACGTTTGAAAATACACACATTTATAAATCATCATAAGATCTTTCTGGGTGAATGGCATTACATAAAGTGAAGATACTTGTTCCAACAGCTAACCTAAATATTCTATATAAACCAGCATTCTGGCATTGTGAAAAGAACCAAAGCATGCAACAATTTATGGGTAAGGAGGAATTCTGTGATGCTAAGGGTAAGATTAATATAAAGTTAGAGAATGACTCATTTCTAACTGTGTGACTCATGCTCTCAGTAAATAAATTACCCAAGACAAATGACTCAGAAATAGATGCTGTAGTATTATTATTGTTTTAATCAGATGTTGCAAATAAACATGAGGCTTGATTTCAGATATAACAAATATAGCTGTAGCCTACACATTATGTCATAGTGCTGCTTGAGAATGTGCTGCACATGCCAAAATTGCTTATCTGATGTTTTGTTTTCAGTTTTAGGTGGATGGTATAGCTGGCAACTGGGTGTCTAAAGCAGCCTTTAACATGGCCACTGAGAATCTCAGCACTGGACTTGGACAAGAAAAATCTAGCGTGGTAGGTATTTATTTGCATCTGGAAACTGTAAACAGTGGTTCATTAAAGCCTTATCACAGGAACATTCCTGTGAATAAACTTCTCACACCAAAGTTCTTAACAAATTGTTTGATGAATATAATGGAGAACGTTGATATGGGGAAGATGGGAGGATCCATCCCATCTTTGCTTGGGGTCAATACAGTACTGAAGGGATGCAAGACATGAACTCCTGATGGCTCTTGAACAGAAGGCGTTTATTGCCCATTTTCACTACTACATATACTTTCCCTGTAGCCCCATGCGCTGTCCACGTGCCCGAATCTGCCATACAATTGGTTAGAGACCCTCAGACACGTACCTGGAGCCTGCCAGCAATTAGCCACTGCCCCAAAGCTCATCTTTAACACTGTAGCCAGTTTTATCTCGACCTTGCTCAAGCTTTTGCTTCTACTGCTTGTTTCCTCATTATCTCTAATCCAGGGACGTGTGAAACAGTGCGGAGCCACCTGCAAATTCCTTTCCTACACAGTACCTCAGTAAAATTCCCTTTATGGAGACGCGCAGTGTTGTATCAATAAGAACCTAAATGCCTTGTGGGAGTTGTGCTTGATATGGTTCGGTTTTGGTATAGCTTATCCTAAGACAATTTAGGAGAGAATGGAATGGAGTCCTAACCTCAATAATGATAAGCTTTATGTCTGAGCAAATAACTCCACGTTCTTTTTGCCTGAACACACTGTTTGGTAATTTGGAAGAACAGTGCTTTCCATATTGTGGACTTCTGTAAGGCTAAACATACTGGGCATTACTGACTGCATGCGTTCCTGTTAGGCCATCACCATTTGGAATATTAGCTAGGATCTACTCCTAGAAAACCATTTTTTTTAGTTTTAGTAAGCTTGCTTTTTATCAGTTAGTTTAGCCTGCAGATAGTAATAGAATTTATAGTGGTATTCTGGTAATTTCACGATTCTGAACACACAGTGATACCAGCCAAAATGGTGGGGTCACTGCCAACTGTGCTCTGTCACAAAATGGATGGAGATGACAGCACAGCTTGGCACTGCTACACCTCTTCCCAAGTATGGCCTTAGTTATCCAGCCCAGATCCACTTTGCTTGAGCCCCCATGCTGTAGATACTGTTCTGGATGTTTCCAGAGAGTGCTGCTTACTTATCTTCTCTGCATCAGAGAAGAGGAAGAGAGCGCGAGGAGGAATTACTAAAGCATAAATGAAAGACAAGGAGTATGCAACTTCACAGTAGTTCCCCAACAAATGCTTCCTTAAAAAGCAGCTGTGAAAGGCTGCTGGTCACAACTCTCTCTCCCTCTCCATTCCTCCTCCCCCTGCCCCTTCTTTTGTGTTTGTTTTTCCCCTTTTGCTACAGCTTATAAGGTATATATCATAATGCCAGTCTCATCTGACAAAACCACAGCTAACACTGATGCATGCTTATGATGGGAAGAGAACACAGACCACAGACTTGGGAACACTAGCCTCTTATTAGGCAGCACTGCAACTGGAAAATGGCTTAAGAGCAGTGCCTTGACTAGTAGTTTCTATTCCTTTGCTTTTGTTCAGTTGTAAATGAAGTAGACAACGGATCGAATAACTATTGACGTAGAGAATAGCACAGATTATGTCAAACAAGGACTTCAAACAGTGTGTTTGGAGGTCAGTAACCTGTGTGCCTAGAACTTTGATCACAGTGGTAACAGCCATAACTTAGGTGGATGTACAGGCAAAGATAAATCAGTAGCTTTTCACTGAATGTTACAAGCAGATCAACAAGATGTTGGTGGGCTGAAAATGTGTGTTTCTAGTAGGCTCAAGGAGCTTCAGCAAAGGAAGCTAATACTGATGAGTTAAGTTGTTGAAACTGCAAGCAAGGTTGTTTTTTTTTGGTTTATTGTTGTTTTTAAGAAACAAACAAAACAAACAAACAACAACAACAAAAAACTGAAATGGATCCTGGTTTCAATAAGTAGCTTGAAGGAGGAGTCTTTCCAGGGCCCTGCCATATCAAATGGAAGACAGCATGTTCTGTCTGATGAAATGTAAGTTTGACTGCTAATCAGCCAATCCAAAACATTGCTAGATTAATAGACAAACTGCCGTGGATACAATTTCTGCTAGATTGATAGACAGTTTGCTGGGAATACAATTTCTGGGGAACTGAAGCTGTTTGTTGAATCTGTGTTTGGCTTGAGATAAACAGGAATTCCTTTTCAGAAAATTAAGATATTTATTTCTGATGTTTTTCCAACAGAGTTGGAATCTTGCTGACCTTGTCTGGGCAAATGCAGTACAAATCTGAGAATGATTGTGGAATCCTCCAGCTATGTTTTTCACTTGAGGGGGCCTGGGTATTTTCATTTCCATTTTGGGGTCAATCTGATCCCAATACTGGTTTTAGTTTAGAGGTGAGAACTGTCCTTTCTCTGCTCTCTCACTACTTTCTAATTGTTGCTTTTCTCTCTTTGAATGAGAGGTGAGAAGAACAGTTTTTCACAGTTTGTGAAGTGCTTGAAGATCTCTGGGTACAGAGCGCTACATAAGTACCGAGCATTTAAACTGTTATGCCATTTCCCTTTTCCCTTACACCAGTTTGTGCTGTGACTCAAATCAATCTGCTTGTAATCAAATTTAAATTTGCTTGGTGGAAGGCGTGGAAGATTGTTTGTTTTGTTTGTTTTTAACCACAGACTTTCTAATTCCCTGTTTTTAACACAGACTTTCTAATTTCCTGAAACTGGAACTCCGGCCTGATTTCTCTCTGCGGGAAAGAGATCCCAGTAAACTTTTTATTAAGCATTTTCACTGAATAAGTAGTCTTTCCTAATGCTATGAAAAACAGTCATGGTGTGTCAGCTCAGTGCTGTTTGCATTTGCATCAAAATGTGGGAATTAAAATGAATTGGTTTATCTATACATTGTTTAGTTTATGTGCTCTGAGAGAATCTAAGGTATGAAAAATGGCATAATAAGGAAGTCATAAATCAGACTCGATTAGGGTTTTAGGTCAGATATATCAGTTTCGCTTTATATTAGACTTGTTTTGTGCCTGTGAATGGAAACAAGATCATATTGTGTTACTTGTGGGGATACTGTTATTTGCAGTTGTCAACCACTGTTGCCTCATGATTACTGTAGCAGTACTTATGTCATGCCTTCAGGTGGCGGGGTAGCTGTACCTCCCTTCCTGGCTTGCGTGCTAGCTCTCTTTCTCCACTCTCCCCTCTTCTAAGAGGTGATGGAATGAAGATGAGGTACATGGCTCTTTTGATCTTTTGATGATTTTAGAGCAGTTAGGCAAGAAGTATTGGAGACCAACATCCTAGCCCCATCATTTCTGCTTTGAGTGGATATACAGAGGTCTTAGAAACAAACAAGCAAAAAAAATCAATCTCTCCTGTTGTATGTGAGATATAAAATGCTTTTGTTTTCTTTTCCCATCTGTGAAATGGCTGGCACAAAAAAAAGGCTCTGTAGCTTCCTTTGACTTCCTTGTCAAAGTTGAGGATAAATACAACATATTTGGTTAGCGGTGTTCATGAGATTAAGGAGTCTAAATGTGCATCATCAGGACATTATGTGTGAGTGTCAAAAGAATGCTTTGGTCCCAAGATGTCCAGTCACATCTTACAAGATATTAGATACTTGGTGTACATCTTTCTGACCCGTTCAGATTAGTCATTGATTCAAAAAACTTACTTTGATGACCAAGATGATTTCTGTGGGTCTTAAGTTCCCATTAGACTAAGTGTGCATATGGATGATAAGTTATGTTTTATTACAAGGAAATAAATGTTTTGGTAACATGAAGGTTCCTGCAGTGAAGTGCAAATTCCCTATACAGGAGAAACCCTGCAAGTTACTTTATTTTTCTTTTCACAGTGTATCTAATGAGAAGATAGAAGTCTGTAATTATAGATTTTTTTGTTTGTGTACATAGTTTGTACTGACCACGTGAAAACCTGAAATCTCTAAATAGGCTTCTTGAGTAAAACCAAATTCATTGCACACAACAGACTATTCACTGTAAGATTTACTCTAAAAGATCACCAATCCCAGAAATATCAGAGGATGTAACTATGGCAAACTTACCCAATGTTAGCATAATGTTTGGTTGTTTTTATTCTTTGTTACTAGGTAGCTGGAGCTTTTAGGAACAAGTTTGTCATTTATAGCACAGCCCCTTCCTACACAAGATTCTAGTTCCTTGCAAACATGGACTTTAAAGAGATACTTAAAAAAAGATTAGCTTTTGAGTTTTTAGTGTCTGTCGTTTTAGTTTAATCTCACAAGGACTTATATAAAGTGTTTTTTCAGCATCAAAACCATAGGTAAACCTTTGGTTTAATTATCTGAAAGCAAAGTCATATGGTTGAGGCACTGAAGGTTTAACTCTAGTCTTAGTTGTGGTGTTTGGATGTTGCCCTGTGCTTAAATGCTCGTTCAGACAGACATCTCCCTGCTCCTGAAGGTGGTTGAGGAGCAATGCCAAAGGTGTGATGTTTCCCTTATGCAGTTCCTTCTTCCAAACTAGTCCAGTCTGTGGACTAGTTTGGAAGAAGGAAACTAATGTTTGGAAGAGGGAACGTGTGTCCTTTATGTCCTTGGAGAGCTAATCCAGTTCTCTCTGGATTGAAGGTATGTCTGGCCAGAACAGTTCAGAGAGAAGCCTTTTTTTCTTCTCCCACATACCCGCATAGGTCCGGTCCCCTATTTTAACTTAATCCATGATCTTTAATATCCATGGGAATTTCACGTCAGCATTTAAGCACTGGGAATACAGAACAATGCAAGTGGAAAATCTCAGTGCAGCTGAATTTTGACAGATGAACCAGGTAATTTTTGTATCTGGTAGTGCTGGATGAGCAAGAGTTTTTTGTAGTTGTCAGTTGTAATTGTCAA